TAAAAATTATCTGTACTGTATGTTCTCACCATTGTTGTTATATCTCAAAATGAGCAAATAAACTATTAAATAACAATTCATATAAAATACTCGACGAACAGCTATTATTGCGTACTGTGTTGCGTAGTTATATTAGATAATAAAATTTTTGGAACAATACAGACAGATAAAATTTTGATTTGGCGATAAAATAACTGGAATATACCATACAATCCAAAAAAACCGCGTCACAGAGTGGTCTTTGAATGTTTGCTATCAAGAAGACGATGTCAGCACCTATGTGCCATTTAATAAAAGCTGACATCTGGTTCCTACAAAATATATAAACTCTGCAGGGTAATAAGTTGTTAAATCCTATGATATATGCCTAGTAAAAATATAGAATACACTGAAAGAATCTGATAATCACCAGCCGTCCAGTAAATTATTTAATATATTATAATTAGTAAAATTGCGTTTATCATGTTTTTCTTCTGGACCCTTCATTTTCATTCAATCATAACAAATTTTTGTTATGTATTATTTTTGTTTTATTAAAGCTTAAAATTTAAATGTTAGGTAGTATCTTAACTTTTACGCTTACAGTATAAGGGGTTCATTTCGTTTGTTACGAAGACATAAAATATTTCTCAATGTAGGTTTTTGTTCATGTATACAATATAAATCGTGGCTGTAAAGTCAAAACCTCGTATCTAAAATCATATAGATGTTTTCAGGAAATAGAAAAACATTTAATGTTTTTAGTTAGTTGTGAAATAAGGCCATATTTTGTAACACAACTATAATAAATAGTAAAAAAAATTAGCAAAATAGTATAAATAGATGCTAAAGTTATAACTGAATCTTAAGAAGATATATTAAGTTACAAAATACAAAGTTTTCCTATTTATTCATTTTGAGATACAAAGCTGTTTTGAATTCACCACGACGAAATATGTTTCTAAAGTAGTAGCTAGAGGTGGGCAAAGATTGAACGAGTATTAAAAATGAATCGTCTGATTCTATTTACTGCTTAGGATACGATTCGTTCAATCGTGAGAGCTGAATTGGATCTCAACGCGATTGTTCGTTCAAAGAGTCGTGAGAATTCATTGCTCACAATACGGTTCGTTCAATTGAATTGTGCTCAGCACGGATCCATAAGATTTGAACGATGAGTCGTAAAAAAGAATCGTGAGAATTGAATCGGATCACAATGCGATCGTTCGTTTCTACGGCGCGGCGGTGATATAGGTATAGAGTCAGGCACCAATATTTAGACTAGAATAAAAGCCCTAAACAAACATCATAGGCATAAAATGCAAACTATAAGAATATATTTACAATAAGAATTATTTACAAGAAAAAAAACCTATTTATAATGTGCTTAGTACGGGAGTATGTATTTAATTTTTACGTTAACATTTTTGTTAAAATAAGTAACGGTATTTAATTTTTACGTTAATATTTTTGTCAAAATAATATTACCGACTATGAACCATTAAAAATGTCGGACTAAAAGACGAAATCGTGTTTTTATGCAACTCCAAATAAATATTGTTGGCCTCTGTTCAATATGATAAAAAACAGCGTCAGCGATGGCTATGAAATGAAGATCGCTGTCATTTTACATGTAAAATTATATGGGCATTGTCATCGATGTTCATTTCCAAGCCAACTGGATGCCATTTTTTTCGATCATTATATCGCGGTATTATATACTATTTATTATATGATTATTAAATCGGAGCTAAAATACGGCTCTAAAATATTAAATTGGTATTAAGAAGTCTTTAATAAATAGTATATATGAATTGGATTGATAATTTTATATTATTTGTAAAATAATCAATCCAATTACGCTAGTGTCATAAAGTGTTGAAACACAAATGAAAGAACCGTATATTATCTCCGGTAGTGGCAGTTACGATTCTTGTTTTTATGAAACGTAAATTGTACATGTGGTTCGTTCAAATGAACGAATCGTAGGAGTTGATTCAATATGAGAAATTGAATCATGTGATTCGATCACATGAATCGTAATGCCCATCACTAGTAGTAGCCGTGTTGGGAACCAGACCAAAATACCTCTTAGGCAATATATGTACAAAATACCAAAACAAAGAATTTCCTTATAAGATTACATTTCTGTTGGTTGCTTCTACCTCATGATAATGCAAACATTTTATTGAATACAAGTTACCCAGACTCTTCCTGATCTTAAACTTAAAAAAATGATACTGCTGTTTCCTTCAAAACTTTATTATAAATATACTAACAATTTCAACAAAACCAATTAGACCTAAAATATACAAATGTCATAAACTAATATAACAGAACTTAAGCCCGGTTGACTTGGATCAGATACACTTGGATGCTCCTACATAAGTATACTTATATGGATGTTCCCGGCGCTTCACTTGTACGCTGCTTGTATCGTATTAATTGTTTTGTCCAAGTTGAGTTGAAAGGCTTCATAACATCCAAGAAGTTAGGCAGCAAGCCTACTGTAGCATCTGTATTTAAGTTTAATGGCTGCAGACCAAATACCTTTGACCTTATCAACTCTTCTTTATTGATTTATTATGATCAAAGCGACTTGAATACTGACAACAAATAACACGGGTCTGCATAAAAATCGGCCTTGACACAATTCTTGCTGATTCTTTTATAAAGTAACCTCCTAAATCCAAATAGAAACTGCGTTTTCCTTCATCATCGTTTTTGGGGGAGACAACACCCCTGCCCATTTTTACTGCTTTCCAATAGTTTGGTGGGATAAAAAGGATTATTTTCGCTTCTACATTTTTATTTCTGGGGTTCTAGAGATACTAGGTGTTCTGAAAACATGGAGTTTTGTAGGAAAGCGGAAAAGCGTTTTTAGAAATCCACAAAAGTGATGATTATGTCGCTTAGGTCGAGGAATTGCTTAGCGTACAAGGCATGGGATGTAACATGTATCTTAAAGTGCATTTCCTACACTCACACCTAAACTTTTTCTCTGAAAATTTGGAAACAGTCTCGTATACCCACGAGGAACGGTTCCATCAAAACATCGCTAAGCTGGAAAAGATATTTTCTGGGAAGTGGAATATAAGCATGTTGGCGGAGTACTGCTGGTTTTTATAGGACAAGAGAGTTATACTTTGAGGTGAAAATGGCAAGTAAGCACCAAATAAAGGCAGAGATCGTTTTATTTAGTACTGATTAGAGCTAATATAATTTTTTTCACTTCTCAAAATTAAATTCACCTCCATAATAGTACGAGAACTAGCAACGCTGGAAAAACAAGTATTTCAAGACGTCTGGTTCTTTGATATATCTTTTACTATGCTCTCTGGAACAGCATGCGGCCCGTCTGGCTGCCGATACCCGTTGCGTTCACTACTGCGCATTGGAAGAAGATTAGTCCGATAAATTCTAGTATTGAATATAAATCGAACATGTCTCCATAGCGCAGTGCGTAAAGTTTCCGACCACGAACCGATGATTCAGAGTTCGAATCCGGGTCAGGGTAAAGACTTTTTTATTTTATTTTCGTTTATATTCTGATAGTAAAGTATTAAATATTTGTTTTTTTTTTAAATTACCAGAATTATTTAATACTTTACTATCAGAATATAAACGAAAATAAAATAAAAATATCTTTGGCCTGACCCGGATTCGAACTCTGAATCATCGGTTCGTGGTCGGAAACTCTACGCACTGTGCTATGGAGACACGTTCGATTTATATTCAATACTAGAATTTAAAGGACTAAATTAATAAAAAATATAGGATCTTCTTCCGATCGGCAGCCAGCATGCTGTTCCAGAGAGCATAGTAAAAGATATGTCAAAGAGCCAGACGTATTAAAATACTTTCTCGAAAACGTTGCTAGCTTTTAGACTATAATATTATTATTATTACCAAAAAGTGATAAAAATAATAAAAATAGGGAGGGGCCCCCGGAAATGTTGGATGGTAGAAGAAAACAAGAGATATACAGGGTGGTCCGAACTGTGTTCCGGAAACTTCGGCAGCATATTCTGCAGATAAAAATAAGTAAAAACGTTTGTATAAATGTATGTCCTAAAATGCTTAGTTTCGGAAATACAGGGCGTAGAAATTTAATTTTTATTTCGATTTTTTCCAAATAATTTCTGAAATAACGTCAATATTTAGATGAAAGTTGATGTCTGGGAGTTTTTTGACATGAGAAATTTGATTTTGATGTCAATATGATTCTTATTTGTAGGGGGCGCCACCTACATCTGTTTTAACTGTTTTGGAGAGTAATAACTTTTCGGCCGTACCTGTATAAAAGTACTGAGTGAAAAAAAAAATATACATTTCCGTGACTTTTTACGTAAAAAATGTCTCTTGGTAAAAATCGCCACGAGTAACCGTTCTCAAGATATTTAGAATGGAAATAGTCAATACATGTCATTATTGACAAAAAATAAACACGTTGAGTAGATATATGTATATTTTTTTACTTATTGTTGTATACAGGTACGAACGAAAAGTTATTACTCTTCAAACCAGTTAAAAAATATGTAGGTGGCGCCCTCTACAGGTGAGAGTCATATTGACATCAAAATCGAATTTCTCATGTCAAAAAACTCCCAGATACCAATTTTCATCCAAATATTTACGTTACTTCAGAAATTATTTAGGAAAATCGAAATAAAACAACTTCTACACCCTGTATCTCTGAAACTAGCCATTTTAGGACATACATTTATACGAACTTTTTTAATTATTTTTGTCTGCAGAATATGGAATACAGTTCGGACCACCCTGTATATGTATATATTTGGATTCGGGATGTCAATTTAAGTAAGAATCAGCAGGAATGGTACCAGGACTCAAGAACAATTTCGTTTTTGCAGACCAGTTATTGTGAAAAATTACATTCAAAATTGTTTAACTGTCAAATTGATCATAAATGTTATTCAGTCATAAGGTATCCCTGTTACAATTTTTGGTAATAAATTAATTCAATAATAAAAAATGGACAGCAAAAATTAAAACTGAAATCAAAATCTATAAAATGTATTAACTGATACTAACTTGTTTGTTATATTGGACTAATAACTTATAATATCCTTAATTGAAAATACACTAGTTGGCTAAAATAGGCTTTACATAAAATAAATATAGTTAAAAGTATTTTAGAAAGTCTTTAACGGCAAAATACGCTATTCCATGTTTAGATAGAGTTACTAAAAAATACCTTAAAATATTTAAAACCTTGAAGTAGTACTATGTTCTAAGCTATTTTCCGCAGAAGTTTCTTTACTATCCAACTGTTGCTTCCACATGTTGGCATATATGCCTTCTTGTCCAATTAAATTTTCGTGTCTAAAAATAATGAAACAAATCTGACGAAAGGATCATCTAACGATATATCGACTTGAAGCCTCCAATTTCTCCAAGAATCCTTATGTTTTTATTAGGAGTTAAATTAACATAGTAGTATATATCGACATAACAATTTCAGTTAGGAGATATTGTAGGATAGGAGTCGATATGTCAACTATTATAAATTGAAATGACCTCCGACAGCGACATCTCTAGACAGCTGATCAAAACAAACAGTATAAATAATAGCATAGTATAAGAAAACTATAGTAAACGCCACGAATGTTTGGGCGTGATTCATCGGTCGCTACCATGTGAACTAAGCTGTTCAAGGTCACATAAAACTTAATTCCAGTGCTGTTACCGTAAACCAGGAAAACCGTTTACGCCCGTTGCCTCGTCGTCCTTCAATCTTTCCCTCACCGATCAGCTGTAGGAAACTATATTTGTTATTTCGAAAAATATGACCAAAATATGCTGCTTTCCGTCGTTTTATTGTAGTCAATAGTTCTTGGTCCTTACACATTCTTTCCAATACTTCGAGATTTGCTTGAGAACCACTGGATCTTTTCTGGATTTTCTTTCTTGTAAATTTAATCTACTACCTATGTTGCCATATTATCAAGAAATTATTTTTTTTAAATAAAAACTAAAAAAAATTGCAAAAAAATTCCAAAAATATTTTCAAAAAATTCCGAATTTTCAAAAAAAAATTATTTAGAAAAAAACCTCATAGGCGTGTTTCTGGGGTTGAACTATACTACCAGTTAAGTTAAAATACTTGCACTTATTTCTGGGACACCCTGTATATGGTTACATAGTAGCGCCGCGCCGCCTCGCGCTTATAACCTTGAAAAATTAAAGCGTGTTATCAAATCGGCTAGTTTACAGTGAAAGCAGGCAGGCACCGTCAACCAGCGTTCATCGGCGTTCTCGCTTTTGCCGGAACGAAAATTTATTTATTTCTGCTTTTGCACGCGCCGACGGCGCACAGGGGGTATTAAGAACTAAAAGTTGGCCAAAATTATGTTTTATGATTTTTTTGCTTTTTTGCTAGTAATATTAATTATTAATTAGAGGAGAGGTTGCTAATATGGAACCCCATTTTGTTTTTCCTACACAATATTTTTCCTCTACTCTGAAACCCTTTCCACCGATCAAATGTATATTATAGACGATATTTGAGCGAGGATGGGTGTTAATAGGGTAAAGACTATTTCCTTTAAGAATCTATTTAAATCAATGTTTTTTTTGGCAAATATTGGCAAGATTTTTGTGCATATTCCAATGCTGGAGACTTTAAGCATTGAACGGATACTAATTTCCATGCGGAATATTGCCGAATAGTCTTACACCTTATAAAAATGCCACTGATTTTTTAAATATAAAACATTATAAAAAAATAGAATAGAAGGAAACGTTAAAATAAAAATATGGCATAAAACAGAACAGAGCAAACACACAAAGCTGGCTCTGTATCCATCATGACAGTTATTATGAACAATTTGCAAAAAAAGCACTACAAACAATTCCACTATTTTTATAATCTTAGAAATATTCAGAATACACTCAAGATAATTCATACTTTTAACTGAAATATATTATTTATTTGACAGTCAACTTACGACTTAAAAAAGCTAATAACTAATAAACGTGCTTACATTTAGTATTTATAGATTTGTATTCAGTTAAGATAAAAAATGAAAATAAAAAAAATATCACTTTTGGCCAGGTTTATAGACCAAATACATCTATGTGCGGCCCTGGCGAGGCGGGCGCGGCGTTTAAATATGGTTTGGTTAGGTTAGGTTAGTTAATCAGGTAAATTTCCTCTTAATTATCTACTTCCGAATCCTTCTCGCATCTCCGAAATAGCCATATACAATACACGTGATGCATATACGCAAAGTTACGCATCTGTGTATTGTTATATGGCTTTTTAGGAGATGCGAGATGCGAGCGATATTTGAAGATGCGAGTGGTCAAGAATAGGTCCCCAGAGACGGCGCTGGTTGCCGGAAAGCAGAAACCTGCCTCCACTATGTTCGTACCCATATAATAATCAATATATAATCTGTTGTAATTTGTTGTTTTAACTGTCAAAGTCTTGTCAAAACATATATTTGGTTATAAATATAAAATGGAATGCCCCATTGGTCGCACTGCAAGCACACCAATGGACTGACGCACAAAAACGAATCAATCAAAGAAACGCGATATAGTATCGTCTTTGTCAATCACGCTAACATTTTAGAATAAGTAGGAGGAGCGCAGGCAGATGATTAGACCGAGCCTCTAAAAACCTACGTCTGCGGTAAAAATTTACGTTTTTAATGCAAAAATGATAGCGCGCGTGGCGATTCTAACTTCATCAAGCGATGAATCACTCCCAAACATTCGTGGCGTTTACTCTAGTAGCTTTACTCCTTGTCAAATCCTTTGTTCTTTTTCTGCCACCTTATATGACCTTGTTCTGGCGTCCCGTGACCGCTGACGTAACTGTATAGTCGTGGTATATAACTAGGCAAAGTATAGTCGTGGCACTCGCCACAGTTTCACAGAGATGTTTTTAGGAAAATATATGAGTTCACAATAAAATAAAATAAAAAATTGGCGCCGGGAGGCACGTATAGCCGCCCATACTAAAATATGTTAATAAAAAGCATTTTTTTTATCTCAAAAACTGCGACTTTGACTGATTTTGAAGTTATTACAAATTTTGTTGCAAATATTATTCCTGATCTTAAATTGAAAACCGCGTTTCGCTAGCTACTGTAATTTTGGAGTTACAATTTTTTAAATTTTTTAACCCCTTCCCATACCCCCTTACCAACCCCCACCCCCATCAAAAACTAATGGCTAGATTCTCGGGTCTTCTCGGGTGCCAAAGTATTTTTGTGCCAAATTTGGTTAAAATCGGTTTAGCGGTTTCTGAGTTATCGTGTTACAGACGGACAGACAAACGGACAGACACCATGAAAATATTTTGTATTTAGGTCATTTATGACCCAAATAACTCATTTTGAGTGAAATTAAAAAAACTTTTTTTTTGTCTATCTTAATAGCCTACCATACCTGTTGGTGTGGTTGGCTAAAAATTGATTGATCATCAAGTAAAAATTTGCTTGAAAACAGAATATTTTCACATTTCGTGTAAGTAACAATTTTTCTGTATCTGAAAATCTTCTGATGGGAAGAAATGCGGGAAAAATAATAATGACATATTTTTATATCATCTTTTTCAAAAATTTTCTACACCTTTAAATTAATAAAAGTATTATTATCGTTTATGTAATTGACTAGTAAAAATCAGGATAAAACATGATAAAAGCGTAATTTTAAAAACTAAAACTACACTTAATATAACTAAAATGACTTAAATGTAACACGCCTTTCTTATTACTCGTTCGCGTCGAATTAATCATTTGTAATGGTGATAAGATAAAGCGAAGCAAGAATTTCCATTAACATACAACCGGAGAAAATTTTCTCACATTTATGTCAGCATGAGAAAAAACAATATGGCGATATTATTATATAACTTGGTAATACTTGAGGAGTAGTTTCATCTCGTTGGAATTTGACTTCCGTTTGCCAAAAATAAGCTTTTTACGTCAAGCAGTTTAAGCAGAATCGTGGTTAAGAAATTACCCAACTTTTTGGAACACCCTGTATGATTTTTAAAAAAAATTCAAAATATGTAAAAAAACAAATAAATTATGCTTGTCCAAGCATTTTCCCGAAAGACTAACCGTTTTTTAAATAACAAATATTGTAATATTTGAAGGGCGTTTTCAGTTTTGCAGCTGTTCTAATTCTGAACATTCACGTTTAAGCCATTCGTTCTTTGCTATTCTAATTTAAATCACATGATTAAAATTATAAAAATAACTTGATTTAAATCACGATTTAAATCATGATTTAAATCATTTGATTTAAATCATTTGATTTAAATGCCAACCCTGGTTTTCACCCTCTTGGAATTTGAGATTCGAGAAACCCCTCCTTATCGAACCTCTACACCCCACAGTCAATCCGTTTGCCAAAAATCAGCTTTAAACGTCAAGCAGTTTAAGCAGAATCGTGATTACTCAATGGTCATATTTTATGAAACAGCCTGTATAAATTTATAAAAAATCTTAAAATATGTAAAACAACAAAATAAAATATACGTGTTTAAGAGTTTTTCCAAAAAACTCAACGGTTTTTAAATAAAAAATATTTGAGGGATAGTTTCACCCCCTTAGAATTCGAGTTTCGAAAAATCCCTTCTTATCGAACCTCTACACCCTAAAGTCAATCTGTTTTCCAAAAATCAGCTTTTTACGTCAAGCGCTTTAAACAGGATCGTGATTAATCAATGACCAGATTTTTCGAAACATCCTGTATACATTTTTAAAAAATCTTAAAATATGTAAAAAAAACAAACGCGTTTAAGCGTTTTTTAAATAAAAAATATTGTAATATTTGAGGGATTTCACCCTCTTGGAACTGGAATTTCGAAAAATCCCTTCTTATCGAACCTCTACATCCTAGAATCAACCTGTATGCCAAAACTGAGCTTCTTACGTTGAGTGGTTTGAGCAGGATCGTGATTAATCAGTATGTCAGTCACTTGAGGATTTTATATAATATTAAGTATAGATAGGGATTCGATGAACAACTCTCTCTCTCTCTCTCCCTCTCCCCCCCCCCTCTCTCTCCCTCCCTCCCTCCCTCTCTCTCTCTTATTAATCTATCAATTAAAATACAGCTATGATGCGTTAAAGATAAGCGAGTATCGAAGTAGGTACGAAATGTTCCATGTAAATCGTCGCGAGTTGACTAGCTGTCTATGAGTAAGCTGTGGCGTAACCAAGAACTGTTCTCTGCTATGTTGGAACAAACCTATTCTTTTCAATCAGCAAAAAATTGAGCTTGGAGAATGATAGAATAGACACGAGTTTCTGAAGGTGTTTTGGAACCTGAAATGTATACAAGTCGAACAATACAGAAGAGAAAATAAATAGTTTTAAATTAGCGTATTCTTTTTGCTGCCAAGGTTAATCTAAAAATCTTTACGCGAAATCCGAACCGTGATCCTTGTCCACATCATTGTGAATGGCCTACCGACTTGGTGAATGTCTAAATCGACTATTACGAGATATCCGATCTCACGAACCGGCACGAATGGGCAGTGTGTGCCAATAGATTTACACTTTTGCCATGGAACCACAGCACGACAGAGTTTCCAGACGGTCACCCGTCCATCCTTTCGCATCGTCTGACGTTGTTTAACGATTATTATAACTAATTATAAAGATCGAACCGTCAATATAATAATAATAATGATAATAATAATGCACAGCTGAATCTGCTTGATATAGAAACACGAAATTTGGCAAATGCGTTCCTTAAGTGATGTAGCAAATGCGTTCCTAAAGTGAACACTAAGAAGGGATTTTTGGAAATTCGGCCGCTAAGGGGTTGAAATTAGAGGGTTAATATAGTAGGTATAAAAAAAATAAAATCTGTGAGTATGAAATTTTGCACGGACGCTCCTTGGGTGGCGTAATTATGCACTAAGGGGCGATTTTTGTAAAATCGCCCTCTGAGGGAATGAAATTGGGGGTTAATATTGTAGGTATAATAGTTTTTTTTTAAATCTGTCCTAAAACGCACCCGAAACTGCTTGACACAGAAACACGAAATTTGGCAAATGCGGTCCTTAAGTGATGTAAGTGAGCACTAAGAAGGGATTTTTGGAAATTCGGCTGCTAAGGGGTAGAAATTAGGGATAGAAGGTTGCATAAAAAGTTGTTAAAATCTGTTCTAGAAGTACGAAATTTTGCACACTTAAGCGGCGTAATTGAACACTAAGAAGTGATTTTCGGAAATTCAACCTTTAAGGGGGTGAAACTACCGAAATTGGGGGTGGAAGTTTGTAGATTTTTTTTTTAATTTGTCGTAGGAGTATATAATTTTGCGCAGAGATTCTTAAGTGACGAAAGTGGATACTTGATTTTTGGAAATTTATCCCCTACGAGGGTAAAGTTAGGGGTGAAAGTTTGTACAAAAATTTGTTAAAATCGCTTCTAAATGGATGACAGTTAGCCCAGAGGTTTCTTGGGTGACATAATTGAACACTGAGGAGCGATTTCTGGAAATTCACACTATAAGGGAGTAAAGCTTGATTTTCATGCATCCGTTGTCCGACGATACGATATTAATTGGCTGAATTTAAAGGCTTCGATCAGTCTTCAAATTCAACCAATAAAATTAATATCGTATCGTCGGATAACGGATGCATGAAAATCAAGCTTAAAACTGGTGGTGAAATTTTGCATAGGTATATATTTTTTTTAAATTAGTCCTAGAGGTATGATATTTTGTATAGAGCTTTCTTAAGTGGCGAAAGTGAGTACTTAGAAGCGATTTTTGGTTAGGTTAACCAAACCAAACTCACCAGAGAGGTGAAAGTTGTCTCAAAAATTTGTTTGTTTGAAATGATTACTTAGTACTCGAGTAACGAGTAAAATAAAAACACTAAACCATCACAATACACCAAAACACTTTTACTTTTACACTGGACGCGCGTTTCGCTAACCATGTTAGCAGCATTAGCAGATGATTAAGACTAACTAAAAAATACAATTTGAGCGTTTATATACTCGCTCAGTGGGTACCGAGTGGCCAACCGAGTCAGAGCTCACCGAGCGTTTCCGCTACTAGAGTAGTAGGAACAAAGAACTTGAAGGAATTGGACTGTTGTGTCTGTTCATACTATCTTTACATTTATTAATTCTGATGCTTTCATATGCATCTAATTGCCTGTAATTTGAGACTTGCTGAATTAATTTTAAATGATTAAGATCTATACAATGTTCTTTATCAACAATATGTTCAGCAACGCAAGATATATCCGGTCTACCATATCTTATCTGAGCTAAATGTTCTTTAAATCTAGTTAAAATTGATCTTCTAGTTTGCCCAACATATTTCTGATTACAGTCTTTACAAGAAATTTCATAAATACCCGACCTTTCCAGTGGAGGTGTTTTATCCTTTGGATTACCTAATAATTGTTGTAATTTATTATTAGCACTATACACAAGTTTATAATTGACATTCTTAAAAATTCCTTTTGCCCAGGCCACGCCCACTCGGTACCCACTGAGCGAGTATATAAACACTCAAATTGTATTTTTTAGTTAGTCTTAATCATCTGCTAATGATGCTAACATGCTTAGCGAAACGCGCGTCCAATGTAAAAGTAAAAGTGTTTTGGTGTATCGTGCTGATTTAGTGTTTTTATTTTGCTGTGTAACACCAAAGATTCCAACTCCCAACTGTAATAATGAGTAATCAACAGTAACGAAAATCAACATCACTAGTAATAATCAATGAGACTGTGAACCATTATACTTACTTTCCCCGTTCTACTATTTCGCCATCCTTCAAAACTAGTATCTCGTCAACGTGTATTACTGTTGATAATCTATGAGCTACAATAATAGTCGTCCTATTTGCACACATTTTGTTAAGTGAATCCTATAATAAAAACAACAAATGAACATAACTATTGAGAAATAATTGTACAAAATAAAAATTTATATCGTTTCACAGCAATATATTAAGTTGGTAAATAAGTGCTTTGATTTATTTAGTTATTTATTAGTTATTTTATTTTATTAATTATTAGTTATAACTTATAACTTTTTTATTTTTAAAACAGATGTAAGAACCCTTATAACTTTTTTATTTTTTCAGATAAAAAACGCGATTTGGTATGTTAGTATATGACATAATTTAGGCTTGGGTTGTAACAATCCAAATTTAGCTTTAACTAGGTTTAAAAATATATACCAATTTTTCTTACAAGTTAGATCAAACTCTTATTTATGCTGATAAATAAATTTATTGCATTTAATTTTTATAAACAAATATTCATTACAGCTATATTTCATTATCTTTCTTACTCTCCTTTGCTTAATTTATTTTGCTTTCCATGCCATATCTCAAGTCAGTAATCAATCAGTAATCTAAAATATAATTAAAATTTATTATCTTATGCTAATATAAGCAAATTCACCAAAATATTACCTTTAATTTCTGGACTTGTTTATGTTTCTGAATGTTGGCCTATTTGCCGTAATTTGGAGTAGTTCTGCGGTACTGCTTGTCCTTGTATTATCTTAGAAGATTTATTAACAAGTGTGGATTGTCTCTAAAATATTATTTGATCCTATATTTCATTATAGAGCTCAAAATGAAGTTATTTACCTGCATATTTTTTGAAATCTATCATTTGTTTATTTACTGCAAATTGTAAGGTTAACAATTATTATTAATAATGTCATTTATATTTGAATTGCTCAGATCAGTTGAGATGAGTGAATTCGGCGCATACACGCTGTTGTCAGGTTGAGCAGTACTTCCTTTAAATTCTGATGTTTGTATTTTCTGATAATTATTGATTGCATAATCGACATCTTTTCCGTAATATTTTGTATGCATCGTCACCGGCATAAGGTTTGGTATGTTTGTGTTTGAATGGTTATTGGAATTTACTTTTAATTCTAAGTAATGTTTATTTTGGCAATGTTTCTAAATTCCCAGAATATTAAATTGCAACTTTGCAGTATAAGTCAAATTTCTTGGGAGCGGAACTCTATCTGATCGATGTAGGTTTCCCATTTTTCCCTTCAGCTTCAAAGCAGGTTTTTTAGTCAGTGTAATTTGTTGGAATTTTCCTGTTTTACCCGTTTGTTGGGGATAATCACTGACTAGAACTATAAGGGATACTTTTGCTGTTTGAGTTGTACCTTACCTTTTAAAAGTATCTCTGAGCCGTTTTATACGGGATTTTAATCTGCTCGTGGCTGGGAAAGCCTTTTGATTTATTTCTTTGTCATCGTCGATTTTCTTGGGAAGAGGAACTTAAAACCACCACCTGTTCCAGTAATTTCTGCTTTCTGAATCCAGCAATTTGAACATCCATCTATTAGAAAAAAAAACTAGATTTTTTGTGAAGCCCAGCAAGGGCTTTTTTTGGACCAGGCTTTTAAGACCAGGATTTTTCCACCAGGCTTTGAGACCAGAACTTTTTTTGGACAGGATTTTTCTTTTATACGAGGATTTTTCTACGAAGCATTTTTCTGGCTTGCTTTTTCTGACAGACTTTTTCCAGTACGTCTCTCTGGAAGTGGTATCCTTCTGAAGCACTGAGCTTGGCAACTACGTCGCTGGATCAGGTTTGAAGCAGAAACAAGTAAACGTTTACTGAAATTTTATCTTCCCCTATTATTTGTTTTCCCATTTCTTACTTACCTTTTTTTTTATCTTATATTGATTCAAGGTTCCAGAGTTTAAGGTACATACATACGGTTCAGTTTTCAATTTTTAATTAAATTTAGTATATACAACGTCATCAAATTTGGTTCATTTTTTTTTTTTAATTTAATATCATTATACAATACTCTATTAATTTATCTTAGTGTTTCATTCATCCCTTAATTTTTTATCTTTCTAATATTTTCTTTTAATAACAAGTCTTGTTAGATTCCAAGAATATCTTGGTGGTTTTCTGGCTTATCTGTGCAAAGCCAGTGGCGCTTAAAACCCACCCCATCTCTTCGGCAGAGCTAGGGCCTATTTGCACGCACACTCCACAGTTTAATAAGACGTTTTTTTTTTTTATTTAATTTTTTTCGGTTCTCTATAAATTTTTAATTTCATAATTTTTCTTTTCAATTTAATAATTTTAAAATTTAACAATTTAACATTTTTTTTTTTAATCAATTTCCTTCAAAGGAAACGCGTGGCAGATTGACGTATTCAATTGTTTTTGGTCATTTCCTGCTTCCCGAAAATGACCCATTTTTAAATGGCGCCCGCGGTATATTTTTACTTTATTCGATAGAAAATTACTCTGAACAGAATAACAATGCATATGTCATTTCATATTTATAATTTCCGCTTAAAAAATCGTATTTTAAATTTCAATTTAGAGTTCCATTGCTGTGTTAAAAACACTAATTTTTAATCATGAAGCGTTGGAAAAATAAATCGTCTAATGTTTTTCGTGTCTTGTCCTGGCCGGTTAAAAGACGCCTAAATCATATTTTTAATCATATCTCAATTTTTTCAAATGGATCAAGCGTGGTTCATTAGCATATTTGGAAAAGCATTTTTTACAAATAATTTGGTACCACACACCTGGTATTTCGACTCAAATTGTCGGTATGAACCGCATGTTACAATTCCAAATTGACACATATGCGAGAATGTCAAAAGTTGACATATGATATGTCATTCCATTCAGAATGTTATTTTCTATCGAATAAAGTAAAAAAAACGAGGGTGTCGTTTAAAAATCAAAAGTTGTAGTCATTTCCGATGAAACAAGAAGTGACCAAAAACAATTGATGAGGTCAGTCAATCCTAATTATTTGTGTCATATACTAACATACCAAATCTCGTTTTTTTTACCTGAAAAAAATAAAAAAGTTATAGGGGATGAGCCACTTTTAACACGCACCCGGTATTAAAGACAAACCAATATTAGTTTCTCCCAAAACATATTTTTTATTCAGTTCATCTGAAAAATATTAAATTTTAGCTGAATGACCATACTGCTGATTATGTATTTTCGTCGGAGTTAAATAATATAGTTCGGCGTTATTTAAACTTGGCATTTAAATTAAGAAAAATAAAATTCATATTACACACACACAAAACACTGTTATACTTTCATGATTATTTATGTCATTTTATTTAATAAATATACTCACTTGTATATTTCTTTCAGTCTGCGTATCCAAAGCACTGGTAGCTTCATCCAAAAGAATAATTGCAGGAGCCTTTAAAAGAGTTCTAGCGATAGCCACTCTTTGCTTCTCACCCCCACTCAGTCTCAATCCTCTTTCACCTACCTGTTGAATTTTAAATGTATGTGTATTCATTAATGAGTAAAAAAAGGTGTTATTGTTAGAAACATTATGTATTAAATATAGGCTTGGTGCATTTCACTTGATTTCAACAAATTCCGACCGCAGCGCTTCAACGGAAAAAATCTGAAATTATCAATATATAGTTCACGCCGTCATGTTGATCGCATTAAAATAATATTGAAATCGTTGTTTTGTCATAATATTTAAGTATTTAGTTTGGTAGTGCAGTTATTGAAACTATAACACTCAGGTATGAGATTTGTGTGATGTAACGCTGTTTCGGGTAGTAAAAAATAAGTGAAAAAGAATTCGAACTAGGCGTCGCGTCGTGTTGTGTTGTGACAATTTCTAATGTTAATAAAATTGCCGAAAAAATGTTAACACGTAAAGGAGATCGTAATTAGGGTGTTGTTGGGTGCAATAACATTCAATAACTCAACTTTCCCGGATATTCAACTCTCCTGAAACAACATTTTATAGCTTCATCACACCAATTTGATCAAAAACAAAAATGAATTCAAGCAGTTCGTTGAAACAAGTAAGTAAACAAAGTGCTCGTTACATAATCAAAAAATTAAATAGACATATACTATGAGACAATAAAATATAATTTGCAATATTAATGGTATAGTTTTTTTAATCAACTAGTGATTAAATGTTTTATGAATATCTTCTAAAATTATAATTATGTACCTTTAAAAAATTTCGTTATAGCCGAAATAGCCCCAATTATACCTCACTAGCAAAACCGGTGAAAACTATGCTCGCTACCGTAGTTGAACAACTCATCTAAAAAGTTTTTTTAACTGGAATAATAAATTATAATACGTTAGATCTTCTGAAGATATCAAAATATTTACTTTTTTATTTTTATTTTTAGAATTTTCACAAATTATACTTCCTAACACTTTTAGAATAATTAAATAATAAAATTTTCATATACTCGCTATTTAAACCTGTGTATTTGTATATATCGATTGTTTACGATATTCTCCGATGGTGGCAGCACCGTCGGAGAATGCACCAAGCCTATATCAAAATAACACACTAATTCACCACAATACATCAAAACACTTTTGCACTGGACCCACGTTACGCTACCCATGTCAGCATCATCAGCAGATGATTAAAATTACACTAATATCTACAAATTGAGCGTTTATAAGGCGTTCAGTTGGCACGGAATAGGCATGGCAAAACTAGCCAAGCGTAATAATTAATTACCGAAAAAAATAGGAAATAAAGTGGTTTTCCGTATTGCAGTATATTAGTGTTTTATTTTGCTTTTTTAATACCAAAGGTTGGAACGTTTGGTGTTACACAAATATAGTTAATTACAAAAAATAAGGTGAAAGTACATCAAGTATGTGGCTAATTACACAGGCCGACATGATTTTTGTAACACGAGTCAGTTGCAGAATTTCTTCATAAAAATATGCTTCTAATAACAGAAAAAATACTCCTGAAGCTCCTACACGTACCACTTTTCAGTTGCCTAATTACGCCTCTTTTTTGCAGGTAGTCAATTTTATAGATGTCAGGTATTAAGTCTAGGTAGATTCGTTTACATACAGGTAAATTTTATGATGGGATGATTGAAAGGGACGCATTTTGTGCACTATAATATATTGTGAAAAACATAAGAGAGTTCAGTTTTCAGTTGATTTTCGACGTGAGTTGTTCTATGCGTGTAGATAAATAGTACGAAAATGTCAAGTCAAACGCGCCGCAGTTGTAAAGTGTCTCCTGATCGATTTTGTTACATTTGTGGAGAATTTATGGTGCAATCACAAGCCAGACCATTTTCTGAAAATGTGAAGAAAGCCTACTTCAAGTATTTTGGAGTTTTGGTTGGAGATCAAGACAAGCAGTGGGCTCCTCATGTGTGCTGCGTTACTTGTAGCGTGTCGCTTGTGCAGTGGATGAAAGGGAAGAGGAAAAAATGCCATTTGCGGTTCCAATGGTATGGCGAGAACCAACTAACCATTTTGACGATTGCTATTTTTGCCTGACGAAAACTGAAGGTTTTTCCAAAAAACAAAAGCACAAGATCGAGTATCCCAATTTGCCGTCTGCCATACGACCTGTTCTTCATGGTGCAGATCTCCCAGTGCCGATCGCGCCCTTAGACTGGCAAGGTATTGTTTTGGAAGATAAGGAAGATATTGAATCAAACAGCTCTGGAGACCAGTGTACTGATCCTACCTTTACCCCAGAGGGCGGTTCCGACAAGCCACATTTGATTGTTCAAAGCGAGTTGAATGACTTAGTGCGTGACTTGGGGTTATCAAAGCAGCAGTCAGAACTTCTTGGATCCCGGCTTAAGGAATGGAATCTGTTAGCCAATGAAACAAAAATCACCACTTTTAGAAAAAGAAATGCTCCGTTCTCTGCATTCTACAGTATGGAGGATTCGTTGTGTGCATGTACTGATATCGATGGCTTAATGCAGGAACTTTCTATAGAACATTCTCCCTGTGAGTGGCGCTTATTCATAGATTCGTCGAAATATAGCCTAAAAGCTGTGTTATTGCATAACGGAAATTTAAAACCCTCTATACCAGTTGCCCATTCAGTGACAATGAAGGAAACTTATGAAAATATGCGCATGCTTTTAGATAGAATCAACTACAACAGGTATAAATGGCAGATATGTGGGGACTTGAAAGTTATAGGAATTTTAGTGGGACTTCAGGGAGGATTTACAAAATATTGCTGTTTTCTTTGTTTGTGGGACAGTCGTGCAGTAAATCATCATTATGTACAGAAAATTTGGCCAGAAAGAAGTGAATTTCAACCGGGTTCCCAAAATGTCAAGTATATCCCTCTTGTAGACCCCAAAGACGTCCTCCTGCCTCCTCTTCATATCAAACTTGGCCTCATGAAAAACTTCGTGAAAGCTATGAATAAAGAAGGTGATGGATTTAAATACCTAAGGCAAGTCTTTCCCCAGTTGAGTGATGCCAAATTGAAAGAGGGTATTTTTATTGGACCACAAATCAGGAAATTGTTGGACGACACAAATTTCACAGACACGCTTACCAGGCAGGAACTCAGAGCATGGACCTCATTTGTTAGTGTAGTGAGGGGATTTTTGGGAAACAATAAGGATGCGAACTACGAACAATTGGTTAATGAGCTTTTAGATGCTTATAAATCGCTTGGTGCCCGAATGTCTTTAAAAATTCACTTTCTCCATTCTCATTTGTCATTTTTCCCTGAAAATATGGGTGCTGTCAGTGATGAGCAAGGTGAGAGATTCCATCAAGACATAAGGACAATGGAAATTCGTTATCAAGGACGATGGGATCCAGCCATGATGGGTGATTACTGTTGGTTTTTGAAGAGAGAAGACGCGGTCCCTCATAAAAGGAAAAAGTAAAAGTTTTTGTTTATGTTTTGATCTCGTTTCGATTGTTTTTGTACTTTTTAGGTATAAGTAATGTTTGAGGAGTGTAAACTATAAAATATAATCGGTATTAGGCTTAAGAAGTTCTTAAATCATGTTTTGAATAGCTATCTTAATATATTGAATATTGTAATATTGAATGATGTTTTATTAATGTAACAAAAAAACCTTACGTGTTACGACTTTTTTTTTGCCACTTTCGTGATTAGATAGGTTCATTCTACCACAATATCCTATTGAGCTTTGTGTTACATCGAAAAATTTTTTTTTTGTCGGCCTGTGTTATTAATAGCCATTTGCTTTAATATCTCGATATTACGGTATTATGGTAGTCCGGTATTATGGTAGTACACCGTCATCAACCGGTGGCTCTAAAATTGTAAGCATTTTTTTTATTTTCAAAGTTCATTATTTCAGCTATTTGCAATTTACATTAAAAATGACAAACTGAAAAAATGTTAAAATGTATAATTCGACAATTTCTATACTAGTTTTTGAAACAGATAAACAAACTGTTACACTAAAAAGGTAATAATACCTGCGTGTCATATTGATTTGGAAAAGTTAATATTCTATCATGAATATCAGCACCTTTAGCAGCGTCTATCGCATCAGCATCTGTAGCTGTTAGTCGGCCATATTTAATATTATACCTAAAAAAGAAAATATAAAGTCATTCATAAAAAAATACACCCACCAAATCTAAATAAAAATTTATAAAAATGAATTACTTACATGATTGTGTTATTGAAAAGAACTGTATCTTGAGGAACGACACCAACTGCTCTCCTTAAGGACTCTTGTGTAACTGTCTTAATATTGTGACCATCTATAATTATCGATCCTGTTTCTATATCATAAAATCTAAATAACAGTCTTATTATTGTACTCTTTCCACTACCGGAAGGGCCCACCTGATATCGTTATAGAAATATATGCATGTTAAAAGAATGTTGCAATATAATATTAGTGCAATAAATACTCACCAAAGCTACAGTTTTGCCAGGAGGTACAGAAAAAGTTATATTCTTCAGCACTAGTCTTTCCGGTACGTAATTAAATGTAACATTATTAAATTCAACAGCTCCTTTCTTAACCACCAGAGGTCCAGCCCCTGGAGCGTCTATAATGTCTTGATCTTCTTTCAGCAAGTCAAACATATTTTCCATGTCAATAAAATTTTTCTGAATAGATCTAAAAAATTAGTTTTAACAATGTGTCATAAATTATGTCCTTATGTTATTATTCAATTACAGAACTACTTAACAAGAGCAAATAGTAACTAGTTTTTTAAAAAAAGTTTTTAAACAAATAAAACATATGAATGGGTCCAATAAATATATTAATGGACCTATCTTTTAAAAAAATATTTAGGCCACATACTAAGGGCTGACAACGGTTAGTCATGGGTCGAGATTTCCGTAAGTAAGAAGAGTACAATGGCGTTTATAATTTACTTAACAAAGAGAGAACAGTAGTTGCCAAACGCATGAAATAAACCGAGAAACTACGCACATTGCTAAGAGATGTGGAAGGGGATAAGCAGATTTGTTGCAGTCAACCGGTAGACCCAATCAATACCTCTGTCAGTACTTAAAATTCTAGGGAAAGGTTTACGTCATGCGTTCAGCTTCACGATTTAATTACGTCTCACGATACTTATATATTTATTAACGAGTCGTAATTTTCCCTATAAATTAAAAAGTTTTAAGTGCAAGTTAGAGACACTTGCATTTTTTGTAAAAATAAGTGGAATTGAGTTGGTGTTCGACAGTGGTCGCGCTATTAGAACTCTGAATTCAAAAATCGATATCTCGTAATCTATTAAAAATAATTGATTGTAGTTTTTTCAACACCTGATCGTGAAAACTATTTTCTCATAATTTTTATCAACTCCAAAGACATCTAAATAAAGGGAAACAAAACAATTTACATTTATCGCGATCACGAACCGTGTTCCGCAAAAATCGATTACAGATTTACGCGGTATGTTGATGAGTTCCAAATGTTATTATTGTTATTAATGTTTTTGGGTACCCCTATAGAAACGTTAAACTAAATATTTGTATAGATATATAACTTTAATTAATATACATAGATTGTGCCAGGATTATACCTTTGAAATTATTTTTAGTTTTCTAATTAAATTATATTAGGGAAATTACAATAACTAGCGGCATCGCTGTGGATTCAGCTTTACTACGAAATTGTCGAAATCTGTAGGAATTACGCTGACATTTGACGTTTTCATTCAACTTATATTTGACAGCGCGCGGTTGTGAGATTTCTGCGGTAGTTGAAAGTTTTTGTAGCTTTTGAACAACTTTCTAATAATTATTAGTGTTTATTGCAAAGAAAACTATTTAAAGTAGTTTTAACTATCTACGATGGTTTGCCAATGCATAGTATGTAAAAAGGTAGATTATTGTAACCCGGGAATTGATATTTCGACGGTAAGTGTCATTATGTTTTTTTATCTTTAGCCAAGCTTATAGTAGCGTAGTTAGTTAGTTATAAGTAGATTATTAAGTTTAGTTATAAGTAGATTATTAAAAAAATACGTATATTTTCTTATTTGTTGGCGCTTTCGATTGTGAAATTAGAGTTACCGTCAGGCAAAACTAGTTATAATGAAAAATTGGTCTGAGGCAATCCCAATCAATTTTTGATAAAATTCATTAGTTTTTGATAAAAAAAACATCACGCCACCGTCACGTCACTGATAGAGCCAAATGACAGAAAGATAGACGAAACTCAACCGTGTTGTCATATTTATGTACCCATCTCTTTTTACCTCTCATAAAAGTGTCAAACCATGTATGATTCTAAAAAATTGAGTTTTATGAATGGAGTGTTCTGTCTACCCATTTAGATGTCTTTGATCAACTCCAACAAAAGCTTTGCATAGTAATTTTTAAAAAATATAACAAGTTGTTAGGTCAAACTTACCTATAATATGTACCAAACCAATTGAGAGGTACGTACAACTGCACTATATATGTAGCAAATAATACATAATCGCCAGCGGTAAAAACGTGCTTATCCGCAACCATATAAGCACATAATAAGCTACCGGCTAACAGTCCACCAGAAATAATAATGTTCTGAGCCGTATTAAGAAAATTTAGAGAAAGATTTGCTTTAAACTCCTCTCCCTACAAATAAATTAACTATTCAGTTTAAAATGCTATTAATATTAGGCCCGGAATTATACCTGGAATTTATAAATCGCTTCTTTAAAAGCTTCTACTTCATAAGATTCAGCGCCATAGTATTTAACAGTTTCAAAATTAAGAAGCGAATCAACACTTCTGGCTCTTGTATCATTATCGGCCAAATTCATTTTTCTAATAAATTTTGTCCGCCATTCCGTAACCCAGATAGTGATACCTTAAACATTAATCATTTAAATAGTTGTCAAATATAAGTGCTACTGTAAATGTCTAGGATAAGCGCGCTAAACCTAGGATTTACCAAGAACATTAACTAATTAGGTTTGCCTGGTTATTTGGAGGGTGTTAATGCATTGGTTAGCCTGGTTATTTGGAGGGTGTTAATGCATTGGCGAGCCTGGTTATTTGGAGGGTGTTAATGCCATTGGGGAGCCTGGTTATTTGGGGGTGTTAATGCATTGGTTAGGTGGTTATTTGGTGGGGTTGGTTGGTTTTTACTACCACTTGCTTTTGGTAAATCCTAGATTTTACCGCATTTCGGACATTTACAGTAACATAAGCACAAATTGGAAAAATAGTTTAATGATAGAAGTCTTCAATTTTTATACTTACCAATGTATAAGATCATTGTAGTAAAAACGATGAAACCAAACCACATATTAAAGGCGGAGCAAAAATACGTAACGGCTATTATAATATCAATTAAAGTTGGAGCGATCGAGAAAAATATATAACTTAAAAGATTATTAATACTGTCTGTTCCTCGATCCATAACTCTCAATACTTCACCAGTCTTTCTGCCCAAATGCCATTTTAGTGAAAGACTATGTAAATGTCTGAACAACTCAACCTAAAGATCAGATAGGTATATTAAAATAAATATAACGTATAAAGTATAATATAAACAACATTAATACAATGTTAAAAATATAAGACGCTTAATAATTTTTGATATTTGGAAAAATTTTGGATAGGTAGAGTTAAAAAAAATATAGAAAAACTCTACTTAAATATCTAGTAAGTATCTATCAAAACATTTGTTTAAAAAAATAACACATAGATAAAGGAAATAAATGTAGAATGCTTCCCGCCAAAACTTATAGTTGCTTTAGATGGCGTACAACATAATACGAGATCCGGCGCTGCTATAGCGGCTGTTAAGAACAACAACACACAAGGACAGAAAGAATTTTCTCTTATCAAAATCAGAATCTTCAAAAATTATGAAATCTTTCAAAATATCGTCAGTGAAACGTGATAACCTGCTAACTCCATTTTTTATGTTAATACGTTTTTTTATACCATTAGAAAGAGAAAAAAATACTCTATAAGTAGGGAAAGCAAATACATTTTTTCCCATTAAAGAAAATTTGCTATTTTAACTCAATAATATCTGCTAACTCCCAGTGATCTAAAATAGCCACCGAAATACTGCTATCTCCGTAATTTCCGTTACGATCACGCTAAAGCAAACACACGGATTCTTACTTGTATGTTTCTTTAGTACAGTACGTCGACAAGGAGGGACCCCTGTGGATTTTTTGCATATTTTTACGCCCTACGTTTTGGTCAATTTTTCCCTATTATAGACAGGGTGAGTCTTAAATAAGTGCAAATATTTTTAGGGGTAGTATATTTCGACCCAAGAAACACGATTATGAGGTTTTTTGAGCGAAATTTTTTTTAAATTTGGAATTTTTTTAGAAAAATGTGGAAATTTTTTTTAATTTTTAGTTTAAAATCATACTTTGTTTGTAATATGGCAACATAGGTAGTAGATTACATTTACAAAAAGAAAATCGAGTGATTCTCAAAATTTTAGCAAAAAATCGGAAATTTTATAAGTGAAATAACTCGGTTGTTTTGGATTTAATTGAAAAAACGATAAAGAGAAAAAATTATGTTTCTTTTATCGAGATTTACCATCACACCCTATATAGAAATCAGGGAGCTACCCTAATGCAAGGTAAACCAATGCAATGTAAATGCCATAATGCAATGCAAAAGCAGATATTGTTAAGAATAAATAAAGAACTATAAAGGGGGCCCGCGAAAGCTGGGCCCCCCTAATAGTTATATATATAATATGGCCAGTTCGACCCTGCGTCGATCCGTTCTGTAAATACGGGGTATCCGTAAAGGGTAAGGGGAAAAACGAAATTATCTATATGCGAGCAATCGGCGTGCTATAAATAGTTTAAATAACCATTACTTACTTGTACAAGAATTTCCATAATACCTAATCAGTTTTATTTTTTTAACGTTTTTCCACGTAAATAATACATAATCTTTATAAAAATTAAGAAAATAAGGAGAAAAGTAATAAAAATTTAGTAAAATCGCGCTGTTTTCATCCTATAATGACCGCACGGTTTTCGAAGCTCGGTCTACTAACGTTGTAATATAGGATAGGCATGGACGGATTCTACCATATCTTCTAAGAATTAAAGTTTAATTTTTAAATTATTTTCATATTCATTAAGTCCAAAATGCTGCTACTTCAGTTCTTTAAAAATGCATTAAAATTTTATTCGTTTTTGGACTTGTACGTTTTGCTTCTAGACCGACGATATTATAAATATATGGTTATGAATATCATATTTTTTAAATTTAATTGATTATTTCTAAATCTGTTTGGGTAATATTCAATTCCCTTTTCAAAATTTCAAAAAATAAAGGTTGCTATCTCCAGAAATATAATTTTATTTCTTATTTCTGCAAGACGAATATCTGCTATCTCCCTATTGTGTCTGAAAAAAATGAAGTAACACGAAATATTGAGTTTTATTCTTCCCCAGCAAATAAAATGCTTATTTCTTTATCATATTAACGCATAAAAATTCTTCCTACATGTGTACATATTTTTTTGTACCGTTTTTTTGCTCTCCTGTAAAATTAGGAATAATGGAGTTAGCAGTTTATCACATTTCACCGACGATATAAAAAATACCGAAACATTTTTAAGCGATCTTTTTCAAAGTAATCCGATGTTTAACCATAGTAAATTTTTGTTATTTTTAATATAAAATTAAATTGAAGTGATTAAAAAGTACTCCCTCAATACAAAAAGAAATGCAACGAAGTTACAATTAAGGAATAAATAATAAATCAAATTCAATACAAATTTCACTGGTTTGAAATGACGCGTAGAAAATTGTGACGTCACCTCTCAGCATTTGACTGAATAGTTGACAGAGGGCGTGAGCCTCTGAAGAATAATATTATGACGTGTCTAGTTCTCTGCTACCGTATTTGCACCATATATCTTAAAATCACGTTAGATTTTTCTATTTTTATTAAGATCATTAAAAAATACGTTTTTATGTGGGATTATTCTTTATTACCTCAATATTAAATTTACTTTTATATTTTTTACTAGTAGAAATTAAAACTTAAATTTTTATAATTAACAGATTACTGCCATTTTTATCGAACCAATAAACACTACCAAAGTTATTCGGATGTTCGAGGCGTTCGAGGTTAGATTTGTATTTTGTGGATTTTACGTCTGGCGTTAAATAAACTTGAGTTTTCAATTTTGTTTTATTGTACCCTCTTTATTATTTTTGTAATGAAGGGGTTAAAGTTTGTTTTGTGAAGGGCTGTCTAAATAACTCTGAAGGCTCTCCAGAAAAAGATTTTATAACTGTTCCTTTGGATGAAAGCCGTCGAAGAGCCTGGTTTGAAGCGGCAAGACAACAATATATCAGCAAAAGTACAAGATGTTGCTGTGAGCTGTGTAGATCATTTTAACGTAATTTCCTTAAGTTTTATTTTACAATTAATTTTATATCTACTTTAAAACACATTTAGAAAAATGGTTTTTAATTACCTACCTTTGTACCTGGTGGCAAACCGTGATACTTTTGATAGGTGACGTCAGAGATTGCAAAATTGTAAATTTGAAATTCTTAATATTCATTAATTATTTAAAAAAAAATGGGATGAAATTGAACTAAAATAAAAAAATACGGGTGTCATAAAATTGTATGAAGATTAATTTGCAATTGAAAAACTATGGTTAAACTCCGTATTATATTGCTATCTTGTAAATTTAATTTAAATTTTATTTGCGCAAACCCGTAATAATAGTGGAAAAAATGGCATTAAAAACCCTTAAAAGTTGTGTGAACAGTAAAATGCAAAGAACATCGTTGTATTACATCGATTTCCAAAAAAAAATCCTCATATTTTTCAACCGCGAATGTTAAAAAATGTTAAACTTGGGAGATATCAGTCTTTAACTGTGACCCAGCATTATAATAAATATTATAGGTATTATTGTAATTATTTTTTTGCTTCACGCGGCGGTTTTTACAGTTTTTTAATGTATTTTAGGTATTTCATACATGTCCTTGTATAAAATAAAGTTTCTTATATGCAACACAGTGTATATTATAAAATTGAAAGAAAATAATAATAAATTTGAATAAACAATATTTAGCGACATAATTCCGGAAAAAAACAGAACGGCTCCAAAATTATCAAAAATATTGAATCGCGTCTGCTGCAAGGACAGCGCCAAATAGTTTTACATTGTTCTTGTGAACACTTTCCAATCTAAACTTGTTTCATTTATTTATTTCGTCATTTTCTACGGAATAACAAATTTACCTCAATTTCCCGCGTAGTATATTGTGATATTCTAATCCACAGAAATGACCTCATATTATTTAGAAAACCCATTCCACCTGTTCCACCACCTTGAAGGAACTTGAACCCTACATATATAAGAATTAGGTCCCATCTGAAACTTGGTTCCTTCTTATCCTGCTCAGATAGGGAATCAACTAAAAGTATATAATTATTAAATCAGGAATACCCTCTTATTTATTTTATATTTTACCTATTAACTTATTATAAATTGGGACATATAAATTGATAACTCTGCCTGCCGCCAGCAGTACAAAACAAATTAGTACGCGCATCTGTAAACACATGTCCTTTTTTGGCCAAATAAAAGGTAACAAGACTTTCATCTTCTTCCAAAAATTTCTCCATGTTGATTGGTTTCCGGCACTATCCTGAAATTATAATGATTAAAATTATTTCAATTCAAAACCAGTATTTTTGCGTTACTTCTCGCTTCTTAAAATGTTTTGCCATAGTTAAAATCAATGTGACATTGATTAATCAGCAATTTTTTTTAATACTTAGGGTCAATGCGACATTGATTTCCTTAATTAATTACTTCAGTTAATTGACACATTTTTATAAGATTTAAATTGATTATGTACAGGGTGGGTCAAATTCGGCGCTTTTAAATGGAAACACCCTTCTCTATAGGAGATAGACGAAAACTAATATCGATGTCTGGAGCTCAATTTTCATCAAAAACATGATAGTGAAAACCGCACATCAATATATGTTACTGTTTTGGAGTTACGGGGTGTTTTTCAAAAACGTGCATTTTTAACAAATCGCTGTAACTTTTTTGCTATGGAAAATTTTGTATTTCTACGAAATCATTTTCAAAGCACCTTTTTACGTAGAATTTAATGGTTTAAGTATAATTATTTTAAAATTAATAATTTAAGAGTTATCAACAGAAAAAATGATTTTTTATTTGGGACACCCGCCTCTATATTTTTAATTAACTAAAAAGAATTTAAAATTACTTTTCCAAAAATATAGCACACTTGATATTTTGTTATAATCCCCTTCGAAATACAGAATTTTTAAAAGTTCGCCACTTTTAACTAGTAGGCTTTGGACCTCTTATTGATGATATGCCCTTAATGGAACTCGAAAACATATTTTTCCAGCAAAACAACAGCACCGCCTCTGAAAGCTGAAGTTAGCAGCAAATTTTTGCAGCCAATTTCAAGAATAATTGGATAGCTAACCAAGATCCCAGCCGTTGGCCGTCGAGGCCGCCTGACTTAGTGCCCATAGATCTAATCCTATGGATATATTTGCAGAAGAATAAAGGTTCCTTATTCTTCCGTATAATCTAGACAAGAATTAAAAATACTTAGCAGTTATGAGAGGGTATCTTTCACCCCCACTGAGTTAATGAATTCCGCGAGAAATTTTCAAAAACTGTCCCGTCTCTCCATAACAGAAGAGGGTCGATATGTCGAACACCTGTAGCAAAATCTGATGTCTTGGTTTGCTATTTATTTTTATTGTTAATAAATGAAGGGTCGGCCGTAACAACGTTGTATATATCAAAAGAAGTGAATGGAATAAATCACGAAAAACGATAAGAGGTCATTTAGGTGATGATAAAACTTCGTATTTAGTATAGTTTACTAAAGTTGCTATAACTATATTGATTTATAATTTTTAGAAATGCTTATTACGAAATATCCAACTATAGAGGTCATTATTGTGGAAAATGCATGTAACAACGTTGTATGTTCATGTAACTTACAACGTTGTTACACGTAAGCAATGTATATTAAATTAAAGCAAATTATTTTTTAATAAATTTACTATATTAATAAAGGTTTTAAAGAAAGAACTTACATAACGCAAACATTATTTTCAAAAAACTGGTTTTACAAAATAAAATCTTAGTACTAGATAAATTAGAATATTGCTCTTCGGCATCTCTTGAACGTTTTCTCGCGTTTTGTTTCCAGTTCTCTATATTTAGTTTCCTTTTTCTCCCCTATTTAAGTGGGAAATATCCGCGGGTGAAAGTTGCACCGCCCTCTTACTAAGCGCTTAAACGCACGTACAACGTTATTATCGGGAATGCAAGGCTGGCATTGACTGAAGGTCGCCCTATTGCCAGACATCGGGCAAAATTTTTCGGTTCCAGTTGCGCCAATACATTCAAATATGCCTATAAAACGTTGTTTTAGGGAAACATCACATTTCAGCAAAATGTTACATACAACGTTGTTACGGCCGACCCTTCAAATATAGTTTAAATGTGTTGATGTTGGTTAAATAGATTTTAAATTGTTATAAAATTCTGCATCTCTCATAGCAAATATTATTTTCCTTTTAATTGATGCTCACAGCTAGAATGTTTTTGCATTATTGCCGGTGCCGTTCAAAGCCTACTTATTTGAAGCGGGGAATTTTTATATACTCTATATCTCGAAGAGGAATCGAGCAAAATATCAAGTGTGTTATATTTTTGGAAAGGTAATTTTAAATTATTTTCAATAAATTAAAAATATACAGGGTGTCCCATATAAAAAATCAAATTTTCTGTTGATAATTCTTAAATTATTAAAAAAATTATACTTAAACCATTAAATTCCACGTAAAAAGGTGCTTTGCAAATGTTTTCATAAAAATACAAAATTTTCCATAGCAAAAAAGTTACAGCGATTTGTTAAAAATGCATATTTTTGAAAAACACCCCGTAACTCCGAAACGGTAACAGATATCGATATGTGGTTTTCACCCTCATGTTTTTGACAAAAATTGAGCTCCAGACACCGATATTAGTTTTTGTCTATCTCCTATAGAAAAGGGTGTTTCCATTTAAAAGCGTCGAATTTGACCCACCCTGTACAGGGAGAATAGCTCTCGGCTGTATCTCGGAAAGTATTAGCCGTAGGGGCTGCGGAAAAAATATTTATAACTAAAGAGGGCTATGAGAAATTACTGGAAATTATTTTCAAGTTTGTAGAACGACCGCTAGGGGGCGCAACTGCAACAAAAATAAGAAAATGGAGTTTTTACAAAATTTTGCCTAGATAAGGTGTACTACAAGTAATAGCTTCAAAATCTTCAGTAAATTTTGAATATTTTTTGTTAGAGCCATTTTCCCCTATCTGCTAAAATAAAGTGGTGGGGGAAGGTTAGATCTGTTTTTATTTAAATATTTATAACTCTGACTGGATGATCGGAATCCTACAAGCGAGGGCTCGTTTAAAAGAGCGTTTCTTACTCTATATTAGGCCATATAAACAATAATACTAAGCTTTTGAACGTAGACGCTAGAGGGCGTTGTCTTACAATTTAACAAACATTGCACGTTTTTTCAAAAATATTAAATATAATAGTATATGTAATTTTAGCTGATAGTAAAGAGTAGTAATAGCTTAAAAAGTCAGCGAAAACCGCATCTTGATATCTTCTTTCAAACCGAAGATATTAGCAAAATTATAATAAATACCAAAAAATAAGCCCTTAATTATCTTATTTTTACAACACGCTATCAGTAGCCCTCTTGATTATGCCCATTCTAACAAAAAAATAAGATAGAAACAGTTAGTTTATTTTAAAATCGACGATATACCATAATACCAGATCTAATAATTAAGACATTAGTAACAGTGAACAAGTAAATGAGAGATGATACAGTGAAGTCATGGTAGGCTTTGGAAAAAAGTTGCTTTTCGCGTAATAGTATAAACGTCAAATTCTTATTAAATCAACATTTGATAGTTTTATCAGCTTTTTTTATCTTTTGATTGCTTTTTCAAAATGTCTTTATTATTTGAAATAGTTGAAGTTTGGTTTGGTTTGGTTACTAATGTCTTAATTATTAGATCTGGTATTATGGTATTCTGGTATTTCGTCGATTTTAAAATAAACTAACTTTTTCTATCTTATTTTTTTATTAGAATGGGCATAATCAAGAGGGCTACTGATACCGTTGTAAAAATAAGGTAATTAAGGGTTATTTTTTGGTATTTATTATAATTTTCCTAATATGTTCGGTTTTTTCGCTGACTTTTTAAGCTTTTACTACTCTTTACTATCAGCTAAAATTACATATACTATTATATTTAATATTTTTGAAAAAACGTGCAATGTTTGTTAAATTGTAAGACAACGCCCCCTAGCGTCTACGTTCAAGAGCTTGTTATTATTGTTTATATGGCCCAATATAGAGTAAGAAACGCTCTTTTAAACGAGCCCTCGCTTGGATTCCGATCATCCAGTCCAGAGTTATTCATATTTAAATAAAAACAGATCTAACCTTCCCCCCCAAAACTTTATTTTAGCAGATAGGGGAAAATGGCTCCAACAAAAAATATTCAAAATTTACTGAAGATTTTGAAGCTATTACTTGTAGTACACCTTATCTAGACAAAATTGTGTAAAAACTCCATTTTCTTATTTTTGTTGCAGTTGCGCCCCCTAGCGGTCGTTCTACAAACTTGAAAATAATGTTCAGCAATTTCTCATAACCCCTTTAGTTATAAATATTTTTTTTCCGTAAACCCTACGGCTAATACTTTCCGAGATACAGCCGAGAGCTATTATTAGTGGGACACTCGGTACATTTTGATTCTACAAGAAAATTAGAATATTTCTGCAGCATTTTAAATATTAAACCTAAAGTATAAGATCGTTTGAAAAAACTTAAAATATATAGGGTGTTCCAGTGAAGTTATAAATTTTTCTTAACTTTCTCATCATCTTGTTTTTCAGTTTATTTTTATTTCTATTTATGCAAGTTCAGGTAAAACCTCGAATTAAAAGAAACTCGAACATTTGAAGCTTTTAATTACCTACGCTAGGTAAAAATGCAGGTATCGCACTAAATATACTTGAAAACCCTGTACGTATGTTATAAACTATTATTATATTAGGAAGATACGGAACCTAATGGGCGAATTATTCGTGACAAGGCTGATTTGATTTCCCCTTACGCCTCAAGTGCTGTACGGTGGAGCTACCAATCGTTCTGCGGCCAACGCACAAAACACTTTCTCACATTTTCTCTAATTAGGCCAGCGAAGGCATATCGTTTAAACGGTGTGGAACTAAAAGTGACAGCGTTGCCATATTAAAATGTGTAATATCTCTGTAATACGGTTTGACGAAAATATATTTGGATGAAAAATCCGTGTTCATGGATTGAAAATTTGTTAGTGTTAAACGTAGAATAAACAACAAAAATAAAAATTCTTTTATAGATACTGAATATTTCGTATGATTGAAAAAAATCGTTAAAATTCCTTCGTTGGCCTGGAAATGACGATTATTGACATTTACCATAATATTTTACACATGAAATAACAGCGATCTTCATTTAGAAGTTTTGTTTAATCATATATTATATTAAATTGTTTAATGATAGAAAATCCGTATTATTAACGTACTGTACCCAAAATCCGTAAATCTACGTATTAATCCGTAGTTCTGGCAACACTGTCTCCGGCAACCACTCACTCTGTTGATGAAAAACAGAACTACGGTACAGTATTCTTTATCCGCTGCGCTGTAAACGACTATCAGCGCGCAGTGGCGCAGTGCTAAATCTCGGACAGGCTGACGGTAACGCCAGCTACATCTCGGACATGTTTTGTGCCACGAAATCGTCCATAAGGTTGCGTATCTTCTTATTTCTTCAATCAACAGTCTAATCCATTACTACTTATCAATATCACTGTCAAGAATTTCAACAAGCAACATAAGGTTTGTTCCAACCCGCCGCAGAACCGTCACCGAACGATCACGCTCGTGCGCAGTGATTCAAATGTGTTCCAACCATTGTGCGTTATACGTTTGCTTGTGAGTTTGTGTGGAGTAAATCGTTCGGAAATTTTAAATTGTACACTTTCATAATTATATAATAATAATAATAATAATAATAATAATAAAGGACTTTATTTAGTAGAAAAGAAGAAATACATAAGTAATAAAAAAATCGATAACATTTTCCAACAATTGCCGTTCGACAGCAGGCGAAGTCTAGCAGAGATGCTATTCCACTTAACCGGCAGGTCGACAACAACTGTCAGATTTGGCAGGACACAATTACATAAAAATAATTCTTATTAAAACTAAAGCACTCTCTTAAATAATATAAAACATAACGACAGTTAGAGGGAAACAAAATTTAACGTTACACAATATGCCAGATTAAAAGCTGAAAAAAAATGACACTCTTTGCCTAGTGGCTGACAAACCCCAACAATACAAACAAAAAAAAAACGAATCACAGACAGGATCAGTGGTTTTCACACAAAAAAAATTGTTTGACTTTAAATTTAAATTTATTAATATTAAATGCCCTGAAGTCAACCGGCAGACGGTTAAGTAATGTAATAGCATTATAGATGAAAGATCTTTTGAACAATGCTGTAGTGTAACGAGGCATTGTAAATTTATCCTTCTGTCTGATATTAACCGAGTGGACAGATGAGCGTGTGGAAAGCACATTCTTAAAACACAGGTTATTGTTGGAATTTAGGAGTTTATGAACAAAACTAGCTAAATGACATTGCCATCTGCACTCCATACGAAGCCAATGAAGTTGTTTAACCTTTTGAAAAGTATGGTCACGTTTTGTCAGTCCAAAAATTAAACGACAGCACGCATTTTGTACTTTTTGGATTCTTTTTTTATCCACTGAATCCAAACAAGGTGAGTATATGAAATCACAATAATTAAAGTGTGATAGGACTAGTGCCTGGGTTAACTGTTTCTTAAGAGTCATGTTCAATATATGCCTGTTAGAAAACAGCAATCTTAAATTCATAAAGGATCTTTGGACAAGCTTAGTAACATGAGATTTAAATCGTAATGAGGTATCTAGCTTAACTCCTAAATTATTTGCGCACTCTACAAAGTCCAATTTTTTGTTATTAATATTAATGCTTAGTTGCGATTTTAGTAATCCACGTTTATTATTACTACAAAAAAGCATTACTTGTGATTTATTTGGATTAAGGTTAAGGTTGTGTTCTTTCGCAAGCTGATTAAGACAACTTAATTCAGAATTAATTAAAGTATTCACCAATGCATAGTCCTTGGGTAAAAAACTATGGTATAATTGAGTATCGTCAGCATACGATTGCACTCCAACATTTCGAATGGACCTTAGAATGTCTGCAGTATACATAACAAAAAACAGTGGCCCAAGCACAGACCCTTGTGGGACACCAGAGCGTATGTTAATTAAAGATGACTTCGAATCATTGTTGCAGATACACTGAGTGCGATCACTAAAGTAAGAATGCACCAAGGCCAAGGATACATTATCAAATCCGAAGTACTTAAGTTTAGAATATAATAATTGATGGTTTATTGTGTCAAAGGCCTTAGAGAAATCAAGTAAGACCAGAATACTAGCTAAGCCCTTATATATATAGATATATAATATATAGATAATAATTAAGGATGAGCTGGATGAGTGATGATGGTATGACTGATTTCTTTACCTCCACTTCAGATAGTGACAATTTGGAGTTGCTGCCTAGTGAAAGGGTGAAAAATGAACAATATTTAGGTAAGCTTTAATAGTATTTCCTTGTTTCCTCGAACAAAAACAAAAAATCGATGAATACATGCACGCTTGAAACTTTTAACAGTCCCGAAAACAATCCACAAAGCGTTCCAACGTTGATACTTTTTGCACCGTCAGGAAACTATTCGAAGTCCGCGCATGCTAACAAAGTGCAAGAAACCCGATTCGAGTACGATTTCGAAACGATCCCGAAATGCTGGTTGGAACAAACCTATAATAAAGCTCGAATTTTAATAATTCTATGCTTAATGAGACGCAGTTTTCAATCAATTCTAGGTATATCTACTGTAATTAAACATTTGTAAAACAATATTCAATGTGATAAAAATATAAATACAACAAATTGTACTAGATTTTCTAGTATTCAATAATCATCTGGAAGAACCATGTACTTGTTTAATTCGTTTAATTAACTACCAATATGAAGTAATATATATTGAAATTTAAAATGTTATTGTTTGAATTAATTGCAAAATTTAATAAGACATGTGTTGCAATGCGTAAAAATTCCTTCGTATTTATCTAGTTTCTCTACAGTTTAATAAAGCTGAGATGAAAAAACATCAATAAAAATAAAGGGAATAAAAAATAATATTCCGCAGATCGACAACACTCGGTCAATGTTCTTTCACTGGGGCAATAGTTCTCATATTTAAAAATTGAATAAATAATATACAGGGTGCTACAAATTCGAGGTACGAGCATTGGTATCTCGGAAAGCGTAATAGATACGAAGATGGTTAAATTGAGACAAAGTTGCGCCTTGGGATGTTCACCAAGATGCCATCACAAAGTTTTAAAAATTCCAAGGATTGCTGAGTTTTTTGGAAAAAACGTTTTTTTTGGAAAATCAATTTTATTTTTTCCTGTTGTTACTTTTTAGAAAATCAAAAAATTAATTGCACATTCTCATAGCCACTTTATTAGGGGATAGTATTTTTAGATTTTCAAATTAGCTGATAATTTGTGAGATACAAGGGCCAACTTAATTTTTTTAAATACGGACCTGCATATTTTATTTTAGTACAATGATGTGCCACACTTTATACTTTTTTGTTTTAGGTACCTTAACAACAACAAAACTCTTTAACAATTATTTTAAATAATTTCAAGTCTGACTGGTTTTTTAAATTATTAAATCTGATTATATTCATCGCAACAATATTGATCAGCGCTAATTAACATTGAATAAGGAAAATCGAGCTAATTGATTTCAAATAAATAATATCCAGGTCAGCAATTTAAAGATATTATTTTCAACTTTTTTTATTGTGAATTTGAAATCTCACTGTACGATCTCTAATAATAATGCATAATATTAATCGTAGTTACTATAAATAAATCAACTTCTACAAATTAGTTTCTAATGCTCTACATGTTAGTAACGAAAGGATTACTACCCTCCCTATTCCACAAATTTATTATTCGTTCAATTTTATTTATAGCTCTTTGAACATATCTTCTTCTTATATTTCCGTTGGCCATTTTACGCCTCTACCATTTTCAATCCATCTTCCGGGGAAATGATTTGATTGTTTAAATTATGTATATTATATTTATATAATGGTGCCCGGTGGCGTAGAGGTACAGGCTCTCGTCTACCAATCTCAAGGTGTGGGTTCGATTCCCACACCCGGCATTTCAGCAGCCGACTATTTTTATTAAAATAAAAATAGTTCGTGTACCTAGGTCGACCCAGCCTTAAATGAGTACTTGGGATTCACAATCCTGAGGTAATAATAGGCGGTTGAAGCGTAGTGCTAGCCACATTACCTTCCTTGTATACCGAACGGCTCTAGTATAGCAAGCTGTACCTTGCTACTCCCAAGGCGTTAAACGCTATATACGGGAGCTATTACTATTATTATTATATTATATTTATATTATTTTTTATTGCATTTGATTTTCCGTATTCAATGTTTTACCCTACGTTATTTTAAGTTTGAAGGCTTATCAATATTGTAACGACGTATAGATTAAATATTAAAAAAAACAGAGCCTAGTCAGTTTAAATAAATTGTGTTCAAATGTCCGAGACAAAAAAAAGTTTAAAGTGTGGCATATCATTGTACTCAGGAGATCATGATGTTTCAAAACCTGAAATAAAAAATGCAGGTCCGTATTTAAGAAAATTAAGTTGGCCTCTGTATCTCACAAATTATCAGCTAATTTGAAAATCTAAAAATACTACCAGTTAGCCCTAATAAAGTGGCTATAAGAATGCCCAATTAGCTTTTTGATTTTCGGAAAAGTAAAGACAGGAAAAAATAAAATTGATTTTCAAAAAAATCCGTTTTTTTCCAAAAAACTCAGCAATCCTTGAAATTTTTAAAACTTTTTTGATGGTATCTTGGTGAACATCCCAAAGCGCAACTTTGCCCCAATTTAACCAAGTTCATATCTATTACGGTTACCGAGATACCAATGCTCGTACCTCGAATTTGTAGCACCGTGGATACCCAATTATTAATATTATAGCTAAAAAATAATCAAAATATCTTATTAACTTACCGCAACATTTCTAGACGAGTCGTTTAAACTAAAATAATCAATATTCTGTACTATTCCGGGAGCTTTTAGACCCAAAATAAATAATACCAATAACGATATATATCGTAGAATAAAAAAAGAAAATTCCACTTTGTCGGATAATCTAAAAATGTTTAATCAATTTTTAGTTTGGTCCTTTGTTTAAGAATAAACCACTTACGTTTTTAAATGGAACCACCAATCATTTCTGTCTAAATTCAAAAACGCTAAATTTTCTGATATAAAAAGAAGTGCCCAGAATAAGAGTAGTATGATACCATGACCTCTAGTGGGCACTGATGGTAGTAAGTAATGTCGCTCGACTGCGATAATCCAAATTGAAAAAATATAAGCAAAAATTGTAAAAACCAACGTTAAAATCTAAAACAATCAATAATAAGTAAATAAGAAAACTCTAATATACACTAAGTTTACCATATACCCATAAACAGAATGATCATCATAAACTGTTACAGATAAAATAAAACTTATTATATCTAAAATTGGAATAAAAACGGAAAGAAATATCTGTAAGTAATATAATTTTGACTTTGTTAAATGGTTTGGTGAGACTTCTGTTCCATATTTTCTATAGATATATAATTGTATGACACCTGTAAGTAAAAAATATGTATTAAAATAAGTACATCAAACTGAAAAAATGCACAATAAATATTGCTACCTAAACATATAATTTAATATATGAGTAATGTATCAATAGCAATTACTGATCTTTTAAGAATAAGAGATTGAAAGAAGATTTATAACAATATGTTAATATTTTTTAACAAATTAATATGTGTATACGAGTGGCTTATATTTTCCCCACAGAATCTGCATTCGCCGTTGTTCCTTAGCTTCCTACTGAGGTGTTCGTTGAGGAGACAGTGTCCTGTTAAAAAAACAGTGACAATCCCAAGATTGTTCTTAATTAAATCATGAAAAATCGTCGATTTTTCTCGGTCGTAAGTTTGGTTTGGAGGGTCTTAGACCGTTGGAGAGTTCCCATTCTAGGTTACAGATGGAGTCTTCCTGGTTTTGAATTCCGCTATAAGTTGGTTTCCTTTTGGGGAGCAGATAGGTTCTGGTCCAGTTAGTAGAGTCCCCTTTTCTAGCTAGATCGTTTGCTTTTCATTGCCTTATATCCCTTTGTGGGCCGGCACCCAGAGTAGGAGGACTTTATTTTCTTTTCGGAGTTTTTCAGCTTATCTAGGCATTCTTTGACCAACTTCGAATTGATGGTCACTGATCGCTTTTTGTTTCCGCTAGTTCCTATCTAAGAAAAGTTAAGATGAAGAATGCCTGAAGAATGCTGAGGTAGGTGCCCATTGGTTCGGAGTATTTAGTTTTCGGACCAAATCCTCTTCTCTGTTCCTATTGCTCTTTTTGGGTTTTGATTCGTTTGGCTAGTTTTACCACGCTTAATCGCTGCCAACGAAGCGCGTATATAAACGCTCAGTTTTGTAGATATTAGTTTAGTTTTAATCATCTGCTGATGATGCTAACATGGTAGCGAAACGCGTGCCCAGTGCAAGTGTAAAGTATTTTGGTGCATTGTGGCAAATTAGTGTTTTATTTTGCTGTTGTAACACCAAAGGTTCCAATCCTCAACTATAATTTCCAGCTGATCCAAGAAGAAAAAAGTTCATTTTACACATAAAAAACGTAGATGAACTCGTTTAACATTTCCTCAAAATATATCATTTCAAAACTAGATGAAACATTTAAATATTCAGAATTTTTTTAATAATTGAATTTTATATTAAAGGAACCTCGAAAAGAACAATTACAATATATTTCCCGGATTGTCTTTATAAGAGGAAAAACTTTTTTGTTATTAAACCTTTTGAAAAAACGCATTCATTACAAAGTTTTTGTTTGTTCTAAAATTATTAACGCCATGATGAATGAATTTTTCTTAAAAAGTTAATGATAAAGAAGAATTTCCTCTTGTAAAGACAATCTGGGGTGGAGCTCTGTAACTAAATAGCGATAAAGAATACTGACCTTGGTCGTACAAACTAAATGGCAAGCGACAGTATTCTTCATCGCTACCGATCGCTAATTCGTTACAGAGTGCCACCCCTGGGTACATACTGCAGATCTATAAATAGAAACTTCTTCTAAAGAAAACTTATCAGAGTGCAAATACTAAATAGAAATATTAATAATATGTGAACAAAAACTATAAAAATATGCTAGGATATTCATGTATCTTTCTTTATATTTTAATTGTACTAATTAAAAGAGATGATAAGGAAGTAAGTATGTAATACCATTCTTTAAATGACATATTTTAATTACTTAGCTGATAGCTACCTATATTTAAGTTTCTTTATTTACATTAGTTTCTATTTTTAAAACTATGCCAAACAACTATTGTCTGCCAAATGTTTTGTGATTTGGCGTGAAAAAATAAACAAAAGATGTAATTAAAATAAATATATAAATAAATATAAAGCAAGTTTGCACAAAACAGCTAGGATTTAAAAAAATTTCTGAGCTACTTTATTACTGAAAATAAATGACTGAATAAAAAGTTATGTATGTATGTACAGAAATCCATTTTAAATTTTTAAATCATTTTTCGATTATTCTAAACTTTTTTTAAAGCTAATAGTACGAGAGCTAGCAACGTCGGAAAAACAAGTATTTTAAGACGTCTGGCTCTTTGATATATCTGTTACTATGCTCTCTAGAACAGCATGCGGCCCGTCTGGCTGCCGGTAAACGTTGCGTTCCCTACTGCGCATTGAAAGAAGATCCTATATTTTTATTAGTCCTTTAAATTCTAGTATTGAATATAAATCGAACGTGTCTCCATAGCACAGTGCGTAGAGTTTCCGACCATGAACCGATGATTCAGAGTTCGAATCCGGGTCAGGGCAAAGACTTTTTTATTTTATTTTCGTTTATATTCTGATAGTAAAGTATTAAATAATTCTGGTAATTTAAAAAAAACAAATATTTAATACTTTACTATCAGAATATAAACGAAAATAAAATAAAAAAGTATTTGCCCTGACTCGGTTCATGGTCGGAACTCTACGCACTGCGCTATGGAGACATGTTCGGTTTACCCCTCGACAGAAATACATTACTAGCTTCCAATAGTAATGTATCTCGATTTAGTTTCTCTCAAACAAATATTTAGAAAAATACAGAAATAATAAAACTCCTAATCTTTTCTGCCTACAAAACTCGGATTATAAAAGGAGGAATTCCCTATGTTAATTACGGAATTATCTATGTTATTATTACTGTAATGGTACTACAACTGTATGGTACTACAATAATAAATGTTTCATTGCAATAAAAAAATTAAATAGAGAGATATTTTAAAACATATACACTAGTTTATTCTTGTCAAAATATAAGTAAATACATATCTGAAAATATATTTGTCTGCTAAAACAGGAGTTATAATCAGAGTAGGTAATATTAAGGTGATCATATTTTGTCATACAGACATAAATATATTTACTATATGCATTATATTATCATTTGGGATAAACCATTCTGAATTCTATTTTCAGTATTTTCTATTGATATGTGTATACACTTCTAACAGTTCTTAATCTGTACGTGTTAAATATCTTATATAGATAAGATAGGTAATGTCTCCCTCTAAGTCAATATTAAGAAGCAAAATAAACATTTATCTTATACGTTATACTTGGTTTTATACGTACCAGCTATAAGAATAAATCCAGCAATCACAGAACTTGTTAAGGTATTTATAAAACACTGATTAATACCATGATCAATCCAAATATCCCAAATGGATGTATTTGGTGGACAATACGTAAAATTGTAGAGCAACATTGTTACTTAACTAAAAAAAATTGGCAGTGATATAATATGAAGATTTATTTAAATTATTCTTATTGCTTCCAATACAACTAAATGAAATATGAGATGCTTTCAAACTGGAAGTTTCATTTAGGATTTAAAGAACTTAGGATACACAGACACCAAATGAAAAATTAACAGAAATCAGTAAATGCAAAATTCTTACCCATTAGATATTATATTCAGCTGAAATAAATCATAACTAGTAGAATAAATTATTTCTTACAATAATGCGTTGTTATTTAGCATTCTATTTGTTTAGTCACTATATTTTGTAAATGCAAATTGTAAGGTTAGGAATGCACAGCTGGCAGCTGACAGCTGATTACAGTAATTTATCAAAAAACAATTATATTTTTTGAATTTCCCGGTAGATGGCACTGTATCTAGTGCTTTTACTGATGACCAGTAGATGGTAGATGTAAAAGTTTGTGTCCTGTTTGTGTCGTTTATGTCAGAAACTTTTTTAATTATTATAGGAATAGGGAGAGATATTTGGTAATATTTTTTATTATCCATAGTATCACCCACACACAAAAAAATACGAATATATTCATAGTAAAATCAAAGGTAAAATCAAAAACCATACTTTTGCCATCTACCGGATATAATGGAAAGGAATATGACGATCGTTTTCTTAAACCGCTTTTTTATCGAAGTACAACTGGTTGTACACAGATGTCGATAGATGTGCTAATACATATATTTTTAATTTTAGAAATTATAATTATTTCGGAGAGTCTTCATTAATTTTATTGAAATTTAAATGACAAAAGACAATTGAATACATCCCATTAAGTTAAAATCAATCTTTTTATATGATTTTATCATGGTAGGTACAAAGAAAAATGTAATTTTATTCTTTCATCTATTGTATAAGCGAAACCATATTGACGATATAGAGCATTATTTTAAGAACTAAAATATTCCATTTGAATGAGGGTGCCTATCTTTTGCTAAGAGCTTTAACATTTGACTTCCACAAAAAAAAAGTATGAAAACTACCTCCACCCCTACATACATTTTTGTGAAATTTTGAAATATTTTCCAACTACACGGATGATCGCATAATCTTTGAGAAAAAAAATTGGGGATTTTTTTTTCAAAGCTAACCTACAATATACAGGAAGTTACAATATGCCGTGGACATAATCACCCAAAATCTTATTCAAATTGTAATAAGGGTTCCTAAAATATCTAAAAAAAGTGTTTATTTTTTTAAAGTTTGATACCCTCTAGCGGACAAACGAAGCAGTTTTATATAGAGGTAAATTGAGTTCAATGAACCTATTTTGATTCCAAGTTCTATGTCCGCGGAATATTGGGACACCCTGCATATGTATACAAGGCGGTCCGAATTGTATTCGGGACTTCGGCAGTATACACTGGAGATAAAAACAAGTAAAAAAGTTCGTATAAATTTATATCCTAAAATGCTTTGTTTTTAAGATACAGGGTGTAGAAGTCTGATCCACAGATAACAGAACTAATTGGTTTGATTTTTATTTGGATTATTTCCAAATAATTTTTGATCACGCCGATATTTGGATGAAAATTGGTGTCTGACAGCATGACCCCTACTACATGATAGAGGACCCACATACGTTTTAGTTGTTTGGAATACAATTGGAAATTATTTGAAAATAAAACACGAAATATAAAAATGAAACTTCTACACCCTGTATCTCCGAAACCAAGCATTTTAGAAATATGAACTTTTTTGACTTATTTTTATTTGCAGAATATGCTGTCGAAGTTTCTCGAATACAATCCTGACCCCCTGTATATCAATATAAGTATTCGCTTTTCAGTTTTCAAATTAATGCTACAGTACGTCGCGTCGCGTCGATCCGTTCTGTAGTTACGGAGCATACGTAGGGGGAAAACAAAATTCTCTGTTAGCCAGCAATTTATGGGCATGCTATAAATATTTAAATAAATTACTTATACAAAAATTTTAAAAATACCAAATGTTTTATTTTTAACGTTTTTCCACGTAAATTAAAAAAATCGGAAGAAAAACAATAAAAAAATCAATAAAATCAGGCAACTATTTTACCGATAACGACTGCACTGTTCTCTAAGCTCGATCTAGTACCCTTTTCATAAATGAGTGGGCTTATAGTGCGTTTTCCCCAAAAAATCCTTTATGGGTATACGTCTACTTTGTAGACGTATCTGTTTTAAAAAAGTAAAGTGTTCTCGAATAGTTGAATTTTAAATATTTTAAATAGTTTTTTTCTTTATTCTTTGTATTTATTTTTTTTACTTCCGACGACGGAAAAAGATAACTTTCAGAAACGTTAAGCATTTTTTTTCTTTTATAGGCAAATTTGTATAACTGTGTACATAACTTCTGACAAGCAGTGTCCGTTTAGGTTTAACGCAGAAGTGTTTATAAAAAATAACTATTTTATTTTGTAGATTTTCTTGCAGTGCAGTGGCGAAATACCCATAAAGGCTTTTTTTGGAGAGATGAATCCGCCACATAGGTATAGGTAGATATTTTTTAGTGTGTTTTGCGGTGACATACTCGTCAAGTCCACGTGGACGCTGCTAAATATGCTTTGTAGTAAATTGATCATACTCCAATATTGTTTCCGCATTTTTGAAATTCCTTTGGTAGACACAGATCCGGTAGACTAACATTAATTTGAAATTTGATTAAAAACGTGTGAGTAATTGTGCACTAAATGAAATGTACCACATAAATGTGTAGTTTATATGAATATTAACGTTTGATAAATATTTCCGTATATTTATTTTTATTAAAAATATTATTTAAAATAAAACTAACATGGACTTGCGTTGACTTTATTTATTTAGTTTCTTACATTCAATAAACATACTATAACATTAATTTCAAATACACCAATAACTTGAAATATTATTTCTAGGTGTGCTCAAAAAATCTTCTAATGTAGACAATCTATATAAGTGTAGAAATGAAGTATTCATGGAAAAAATTCGTTGTGTTCAAAATTTTCAGAAAAATAAAGAATATGTGATACAGTACGACACTCAGTAATATTTTTTCCTTTAGCCTAATATTAGATGTTTATTATAGACATGAATTAACAATATATTTTTTATGTTCAGTTAAATTTAAATGGGTCCTTCTTCAAATATCTTAACTACGTTCTTTAAAAATTTCAAACTTTATATACAAATTGACTACCATATTTCAGTACGAAAAAATATCACAGATACAAATATGGTGTGAAACAAAAGAAAAATAAACGCAACGGAGGTAAAAGAAAATAAAACAATAGAAAATAAGTGAAAAAGAAAAATTAATTTTTATTTAATAAAAAGTAACAAAAACCGTAAATTTTATAAATACATTTTTTAACTTAGATCACAAGCTTACCAAGGGAAGTATATTGTACAAAATGTACTTCAAGTATAAACCTAACTAACAATTTTAAAGCTTGTTCATACTTAAATATTAACTAAATCTTTTTACGTTGTAATAACATTAACGTAACGTGTTCATTCCTTGTAACCAAATGTTTTCGAAAATTATAACAATATCCGTATACCGACTTACAACGTATACAACAAATTTTTAAATTATTGTGATATCGGAGGAAAAGTAAATACAATAAAATCTACATATCCGAATATGTTTTAGCTGCATTTTTATAAATAATGTAATAATGTACTTATCGAGTATACAGTATGTTAAATTTTACTAACAAAATAAAATGGATTTCCCAATGCGACGCTACTATTCGTAACAATTTGATGAAACACATAGAATGATGAATGTATCATGTATATATTATGTAAATACAAACTAATACTATTAATATTTGCACCAAAAACTTAAAAATATACAGAAGGATGCCAAACAAAAGTTTAGAATTCTATTACCCGAAACACTGGTAGAGATTCACAATAGAAATACTTAATGTAGAGATGTAGGAAAATAATTGGTATAAGTACGTATAATAAATTATATTAATATTTGAGCTATTTGGAAAGTTTTAAAGGCAGCCATATTAACCCATATGCTAATAAAAACTAAAAGTATAATATAAAATTAAATAAATTCTCTTATATGGCTGCCTTCAAAATGTTAATTGTAAATTATTTCATCAGTAATTAAAAAAATTATAAACTCTGTACAACCTTAACTAAATCTATATTCACATGTCTTTATATACTTTTCTTATGCACAGTTTTATAGGCAAATCCTTAAAAGAAATATAAACATGTCTAAATATTGCCTTCAATAATGGTTTTCGAGAGGGTTTATTGACTTATTTTTTTTATTATAAGATGATAAGTTCAGTAAACGTTAAATGTGTTTGTGTTAAAATATTTAACTATGAAATCAATGCTTTTCAGTTTATACCACGTACCTTAAACTTGTGTAAATTCTTAAAAGAATATTTATGATATGTAAGACATTTTGAACAAATACTTTGATTCAATACTGAAATAAACATTACGGACCTTACCATCTTAAATATAACTTGTTTTAAGGTGACTGTTAGAATTTTAAACTGCGTACGTTAAGCCTCGGTTTCAAAAGCATATTATGTCGCGACATTCTAAGGAACCAATGAGAGTTAACGAAATTGTCAGTTAAAAAATTTCGTCGATCTTCATTGGTATTTGAAGGTGTCACCAGTGACCAAACATTGTTCTGAAAAGGAACGTCATTGATAGAATCAGTTTAAATTTCATATTTAATAGTAATGCTTAAACTAATGTTACAATAAAATAACCTACATATAGAAGTACGTGTGTGATAAGTTGCGAAACAGAACTCGTTTTAATGAAGAAATGTAGTTTATACCCCGAGCAATGTCAAGGGTTTTGTGTCACCTTTACCTTAATATAGTTATACTCGTTACACAGGCATAATAACACTTAACAATATCAATGTTAAAGAAATAATTAATATCCTATTTACAGCAATTTAATTTTAATTAGCGCGGTTGAGCGACGCGACGCGTAAGCAACCTTTATTCAAAACAAACGGACAATTAAGTTGCTTCTTGCAGCGTGAGAATAAAGATATTGTCAGATAACACTATATAAACAATTATAGAGTAGATGACATTTTTGATGAATCCAAAAAACATTTCCGGCCATGTCGGCTTTATTTTACAGTTACTGTAATAAAAAAGGGCTTATTGTTATTAAAACAATATATTTTTTAAATTTTTAAAATACAATATTCATTTTCTACGTTATTCATAAATTGCGGATATTTAATATAAAAAACTTATTTCAATGATAATAATTTGTATCTATAACAGGGTTTAAAGATATTGTCAAATAGCACTGTATAAACAATTATAAAGTAGATGACATTTTTGATAAATCCAAAATAAATTACAAAAAAAATTACTGTAATAAAAAAGGGCTTATTGTTATTAAAACAATATATTTTTTAAATTTATATAATACAATACTCATTTTCTACGTTATTCATTTTTTAATATTATTTAAATTGCGGATATCTAATATCAAAAACTTATTTGAATGATAATAATTATTTGTACCTATAACAGGGTTGCTAAAAATAGTCAAGATCTAGTCTTAAGAGATAGTTCACTGACTTATTTCTAAATATTTTGTTGGTTTTACATACTGTTACATGTTATTTATTTACACATTGTATGTATCATTAGCCATAGCACATTTTGCACCATTTGTCCCGTGTGGACTCTATATCTAAGACAAAATAAACACGTCATAATTCCAGACGAAATGAAAATCTTTTCATGTATTCCATTTACTATAATTTTGTAGCAGTATTCAGGCAGTCACCAATATAAAACAACCCTTAAATTAAAAATATGAGATCAACAACATGTCACGTTATCCACTCTCGAAAAATCTGCTTTTTTCCTACTTATAACTAAGTTCGCCCCTTAAACCTTTACTTATCTTTTAACCCTCCCAATATGGAATGTTCCATAAGACTTGAGTTTGGTTGGTGAGCGTAGCTTCGAATCTGCTGCAGTGAAATCAACTGATTCGGGAAGCCGTTGCTCGGTTGGCTCTTGGGCAAGTCTAGGCTATTTTGTTTTTGGAATGATAGAGCATCGTAGATGTACGGCCTGTTAGGAGCTAGCTGGTGGTTCAGATGGTTTAAATGTCCAGACATTGAGTTAATAGGCGTAAAGGCTGAATTGGTGTTGCTTTTGGAAATGGACGTATCGTACGAGTTGCCTAAATTTGCATTAGGTGTGCCCGGTGGAGGTGGTGGATTCTGACCAAGCTGTTGTCTAATAATTACCAGATCTTCGTTTTGTTCTAAAAGACCTCGTGGAATGTCATTTGGATAATCGTGGATGTTCTCAGCACTGTCAGGAGAAACTTTGGGCCAGTAAGGATGATCCAAACCTCTATGATTTAGACCTGCAAATAAAACATTTTTTTAGTACTTAATTTATATTAAAAGTTACCTATTTTGAAGTGAAACTTCATTACGCGCGCCGCGCCAGGAGTAAAAATTCAAGGCCGTGACATTACACGCGAGACGACACGCGACATGACAAGTGAGAGGAAAAGTGGTAACGACAGCCTATGACCTTTGGTATGTCGATAGATTGAACTACGACCAACTTGAGCGTATACGGCACGTGTCACTGTGACAGATAGTTTTGGCATAGAAATCATCAAAAGTTGATGTCCGATCGCGACCAAATTTGGTGGGTAGCCTATGAGCGACGGTGCACACGATCCCACCCTGCAAAGTTGGTTACGATGTTTCGTTTACATCTTCATCAGGGTGGGACTAAGGATTTGATATTGACGAAAAATGTTGGTCATTTCCGGTATAATTGGGGACGGGCTACAGAACGGTCATTTTAATACAAATTTTGTGAAAGTGAATAAAATTATTTATTATTTATTAATTCTTATATATATATATATATATATATATATATATATATATATATATATATATATATATATATATATATATATATATATATATATATATATATATATATATATATATATATATATAATTTATTACTTTTTCAACATTTAAAACTACACTTTTTCAAACATGCCCTTCAAATCCTTCAATTTAATAGCTGTTAAGTAAGAAGTTTCACTTCAAATATGTGCACATAGTGCACACACAATTTTTCTAGACTGTATTATACAACGATACTTACCAAGAGTTGGTCCTATAGGTGGTCTTTTGTCTGTCCTTTCTGCATGTTTCTGCATGTGCTTTTGTAAGTACGTTTCTTGCGTGTAGCTCTTACCACAATACTGACAAATGTGTGTTTTCAGATGCTTGCTCTCCTTATGCTTGGGAATATGTTCCAATAGAGAAGGCTCATCACTGAAACACTTGTAGCAGGAATTACACTTGTAGGGCTTGTCGGTTTGGTGACACCTGGAATGTGATTGCAGGTTGCTAAGCTGAGAGAACGCCTTTTGGCAACCAGGATGCCTACACCTGAAACAATAAAATTCGGGTAAATAGTGGAACAATATGAACTGAAAAAAAACACATATCTATAAAACAATAATATAAATAAATGATTTAGTAGAGTAGTATATAGCTGTATAGTAAATGACGTAGGTATCGTAAATTGATCGACTTGTATTGAACATATCAAAGCGGTGTGATACAGGGAAGGGATACTACGAGGCAGTTGTGGTCATAAATTACTTGTACCTATTTTAGTAAGATAGTCAGCAATACATTCACATTTAGTTGTCTCAAGAGCTTTCAGAGCAGCTTAGTTATACGAATATGTATTGTATCTATTCTTCTAGTGGTCAAAGTTTTAAGATAATTTGATACCTATATATGAGCTATAGTTTGTGTGGGTGTTGATCTACGTAGAACTGAATTCATTGTTAGTTTTATTTGACAATAATTCATCTGATTTATATTTCTGTCGAAAAAATAACTCCTTTGATTACGATTATAACAAAGCCGAATAAAAAAACACACCATGATCGTGTCAAAAGAACCGAAAACGACCGTCCCGATGCCATAAACAATTTGCCGAACAATTAGAATTGAATTGAATCAGATTTTTCCCTCCCATGTAGCGCGAGAGCGATAATGAATATTTATCGAGAGCGCTTTACATTTTTTACTGTCAAGGTCGACATACACGCGTAATAATAACAATAAAAGCGGATTGCCGATACTGACCGTGCCGCATGAACTTTCGCTTTTCCTGGTGCGAGTTTTATGTAAACACTTCCGCGCGTTCCGAGTTTTTTTTGCAGTTTATAAACAATTACGCAATTTTTACAAGATCATTTTAGGATGAATCAATGCAACCCAGACCCCTCCAATTATTGTCTTGTTCTTGTTATTATCCGTTATTTATATATTATCCAATTCTCACGATTCTTTTTTACACATCGTTATACATCGTTCAAATCTTATAAATCCGTGCTGGCCACGATTCATTGTGATCCGATATCCAATTCTCACGATTCTTTTTTACACATCGTTATACATCGTTCAAATCTTATAAATCCGTGCTGGCCACGATTCATTGTCATACGATTCAATTCTCACTATTCTTATTTACGACTCATCGTTCAAATCTTATAGATCCGTGCTGGCCGCGATTCATTGTCATCCGATTCAATTCTCACGATTCTTTTTTACGGCTCATCGTTTAAATCTTATAGATCCGTGCAGGCCACGATTTATTGTCATACGATTCAATTCTCACGATTTTTTTTTACGGCTCATCGTTCAAATCTTATAGATCTGTGCTGGCCACGCTTCATTGTCATCCGATTCAGTTCTCACGATTCTTTTCTACGGCTCATCGTTCAAATCTTATAGATCTGTGCAGGCCACGATTTATTGTCATACGATTCAATTCTCACGATTCTTTTTTACGGCTCATCGTTCAAATCTTATAGATCTGTGCTGGCCACGCTTCATTGTCATCCGATTCAATTCTCACGATTCTTTTTACGGCTCATCGTTCAAATCATATAGATCCGTGCTGGCCACGTTTCATTGTCATCCGATTCAATTTTCACGATTCTTTTTTACGGCTCATCGTTCAAATTTTATAGATTTGGCTGGCCACGATTCAATTGAACGAACCGGATTGCAAGCAATGAATCGAATATCACAATTCATTTTTAATACTCGTTCAAATAAACGACTCGTTCAATCTTTGCCCACCGCTATTATATACCCCTAGGGGGTCTCCATAAATCGAACCCATCAGTAGGGGACCCTGGCAGTTTAACTCTGTAAGAGTAGGGTTTCCAAACCGGGATCCCGGTGTAGGTTTATTTGGAAATCCCGATATTAAATACCGGGATCCTGAAAATCTCTAAAAATTTAAATGTCCAATGTAAAATGATTCAACTTTATACACTTCAGTCTTTCAAAGATAATATTTTATTTATACTAAGCAGAATGTCGAACAAAATTTGTAATAACATCAAAATCAGAGTCAGATCTTGGTGGAAGAAAGCTCTTATAAACGATTTAAAATTAATGGAACTCATTTAGTAATACTTACATCGCTAATAATGTTTTCTTATTAAAATTGCGGAAACAAATCGACAACTACTTATATTGAAATAATCGAGATATGAACCTTGTCATATTTTTTGACTGCAATCGTGAGGTAATTGAAAACGCGAGAAAGTTATTGGTCACGGCGTATTATAAATTTCATATCTGTAAAAGACAAATGAAGCGAATCAGAAATGATATTAGTATATTATTGTTTATTTTACCACTAGAAATAGAGACAATGAATACGTATTAAAAAAATAGATAGTGAACTAATGGACTTATGAATAGAATATATTTTGTCAAAACGAGCAAACCCTTACCTGAAGCTGTATTGCCAATTGATACTATTAAGTTACGGTAGATTGCGCTGTAAAGTTACTAGTTATTGTTTATCATCAGTGAATAATGAAAACAATTATAGATGTACTTATTGATTTATTCCTGAATTATACAAAGGTTAAAATTGAAACAACAAACAAAGATTGGAGATTGTATGTCCCTCTTTCTTGAGTTATTACTCATTATACAGTCTCAGGGCTTTGACAAAAGCTAGTAGCGTTGATTGAAAAAATAAGCTAGTAGGTTTAAAAAAGCAGTTTTACAGAGGCTAGTTCCCTATCTCTGATATCAGTCGTAAAAAAGTTTGTGGCACGAATAGTTGTCGTCTTGGCACACTCAGTGATATGGTGTTCTGGTATTTACCAGTTTAGGTAAAAACGGAAACCCTATTACTAAGACTTCGCTGTCCGTCGGTCCGTCTGTCACAAAGGTCTATCTTAATAACCGTTATAGCTAGACAGTTGAAATTTTTACATTTTTACAGATAATGTATATCTATGTTGCCGATAGAAGAACAAATATTAAAAACAGAATTAAATAAATGTTTATAAATAAAAAGTACTTTCACTAAACATTATCTTTTAAGTAAGAATTTTACATAGAATCTTTCAAGTCCTCGGTGGCCGCATGGTTTAAAGCGTTAGGAGTTTACGCTGCTATGACGTTGGAGCCGTAGTAAGGCAGGTTCGAATCCTAGTCAAGGCGACTTTTTTTAATCGTTTTTTTTTAATTTTTACATATTTATTTTTACTTTTTACATATTTATTATTGATTAATACAATTTTTAGTCGTGTTTCTTAATTTTTTTTAATTACCTATACGGCATTCAAAATTTCGGCTAAATCAGAAAAAAAGTTTATAATAATATAGTGTTTAATGTTGTATAGATAATGAATGGTACGGAACCCTTGGTGCGCGAGTCCAATTAGTCCGAGTTTATGGGTATTTCGCCACTGCACTGCAAGAAAAATCTACAAAATAAAACAGTTATTTTTTGTAAACACTTCTGCGTTAAACCTAAACGGACACTGCTTGTCAGAAGTTATGTTTACAGTAATAAAAATTTGCCTAACAAAGAAAAAAATGCTTAACGTTTCGGAAAGTTTATCTCTTTCCGTCGTCGGAAGCAAAAAAAATACAAAGAATAAAGAAAAAAACTATTTAAAATATTTAAATTCAACTATTCGAGAACACTTTACTTTTTTTAAAACAGATACGTCTAGAAGAAACCGTTGACAATCGTTTTTTTTGCTTCCGACGACGGAAAGAGATAAATTTTCCGAAACGTTAAGCATTTTTTTCTTTGTTAGGCAAAATTTTATTACTGTAAACATAACTTCTGACAAGCAGTGTCCGTTTAGATTTAACGCAGAAGTGTTTACAAAAAAATAACTATTTTATTTTGTAGATTTTTCTTGCAGTGCAGTGGCGAAATACCCATAAAGGATTTTTTTGAAGAGATGAATCCGCCACATAGGTATAGACATTTTTTTTTGATTCTTAACCACAAACAAAACATATTAAAATTAACTGAATTGTAATAAGAATCAAGGTACGCTAATTATAACGTACATATGTTACGGTTAAAGTCCTATGTCCGGTTAATGTTGACATTAACAGGTTAATGTTTGTGTTTGGTTATGTTTTTGGTTGTTTTGTTGTGTGTTATTTTCGAGATTAACTGGGTAATGTCGACATTAACCGGACATCGGACCTTAACCGTAACATATCGTCGGCTTTATGACGAAAAGGCGTATCTCGATTTTTGGCGATTTTGAGATATCAATCATGATATGCCCAATGGGTCATATTTAACATAGCGAATTTGCGCATCTCAATATTGTACCTTTTTCATTTTATATTCGTTTAAAAATTTGCCCCATCTCAAATACTACAATTCTTCGTTATGACGAAGAGACGTATGTTGAGATAGGGCTCTTTGTTATATCAATTGTTATACCAATTGTTATACTACAAGAAAGATTGAATTTGAGATAGATCCTTTTGTTTTAAGTTATGAAAATGGTACCTAATTATTTTCTGATGGTTGCTTGGGACAAAATAAAACTTCTATCATGGCAGCAGCTCTCTTTTACAGTGTGATTTTGAGTCTGTTTTTGCCAAAAATCATTGTTAGAATGAGCTAGACTCTGCACCTAGCTGTATCGGGTATGCAAAAGATTGTCCGAGAATAAATGGCCGAAGGAAAATTGATCGAAAGCAAAACAACGAAACGAAAATTGCCCTGATGGAAAAATTCCCGAAATTATAATTTCCCTAAGAACATTTTAGCGGGCCAAAAACTTGCCCGAAAAATACAATAATTTTTATCTCATTATCATTGTCAGTTACCATTGGCATTGTCATCCCTGTCAATTTTTGGAAAATTTTATTTATTGTGCCTATCATCATCCTGCATAAACACGTAGAATGGAAGTCGAATTTGTTATCATTGAAAAGGGCAAACAGAAACTGTTAGTCCACAGTTATTTGTATCAAAAAGGCACGAATGAAGAAACATGTTTTGTTTTTGTTTAGTTTCGTTTTTATTAAATGGACCGTGAGTTTAAATGCCTTGTATTAATGCCCTCAATTAACTGAATAATTACTAAAAATATATTAGTTAAAAAAATATTTTTGTATAAAAAACAATATTATTAAAATAAGTTAGATAAGTGTATTTTAATTGATTATTGTCTTTGCTTCTGGAATGAAAATTGTCTTTATTTTCAGTTGATCTAATCCAACGCGAATAAAAGTATTTAAAAATATTTGTTTCTGATTTTTTGGTGATTTTCAGATTTTTTCTGTATGTATGTATTTTATTTTCTTGTATGTATTCCATAATGTGAAAATTGTATTTTTTTCCTTATTAAGAACACTTTACCATCATTTTTTAATTTATTTTACATGGGCGTATGTATACTATTCGTTAGGAAATAAATTTATTATTATTATAACAAAGAGGCCTATCTCTATTAAACAACAAAAAAGAAATTATTTATTAGAATTTACGCACAATTTATCTTTAGAACGTTTCCTCAATGTCTCCGTTTAGTGTTAATACAAAAACACTATTAAAAAATTAAAGACTTTACATTTATTGGCCAAATAAAGTAAGCGATTTTCTTTAAATTGCTCTCCTGAAAAGTAGCAAAAATCGAGATACGCCTTTTCGTCATAAAGCCGACGATATATATGATCGAAATAAAAACCGACGTCTAGTTCCCCATATAATTTTACATATAAAATGACAGCGATCTTAATTTCATAGCCATAGCTGATGCCGTTTTTTTTCGACCATATTGTATTACCCAATTTCCAAATTGTTCTTGTTTTTGCATGATCTTTTTCGCAGACTTTTTGTGTAACGTTTTATTTAAATTAAAAGCTTATTATTATTTTTTCTAATTGTTTGTTTTTTTTTAATAAGAGAGATGTTTATAAGGGTCCCATCTGGCTGTATAAGTTTGAGAAATCCTGCCCTTACCAATTAAAAAATCACTTTTTTTGCTCTTTATTTCATTAGCGTTTAACATGCAAAATATCAAAGACAATCAAATTATTGTTGAGAATGATTGTTGTCGCGAAGATAACGGGATTAAAGGTTATCGATTTTAGGTCACTGGACTCCCGAAAATTGTGACGTTAAAATAATTAGCATTATGATCTTCTCTTATCAAATTTCTTAATTATTAAGGATCATACGTATTACGTATGACGCAAATAAACAGTAAAGTTTATTTTATTATAAAACTAGCTGACCCGCTTAACTTCGTACTGCCTAACAGTGAGTGAAGTGAATGTCTTCTTGCGGTCCGAATGATCTGGAATGATTTAGAGCAATTCAGACAGTATTTTCTCTATACAGAAAATCGTGTATCTAACTTCGGTAGGTGATTCTACTGATAAAAGTATAACAAAAAGTTCCTATGAACATATGCCCTAAAATGCTCCCCGAAGAAGTTACAGCGCTCGAAAGGCTAAATATAATAAATATACACTCACCGGCCACTAAAAACTAGTCCCAATTTCAGAGTTGGATTTCTCGCGAACCACTCATTAGATTATTTTGAGCATATACAGAGCACAACAATATGCCGAAGTTTTCTGCTCGAATTTTGTGACACCCTGTAGGGTGCAGCAGTTGTAGTAGCTATTGCCAAACCAAATCACATTGTAGCCTCATCTTTTGTGAGCATTTTATTTTTTTAATCACAACATTATCTCTGTTTGTATTGGAGATACGCTGCTTTAAACCTAACGTCTCGGAAAAATGCTTTGCAGGCAAAACCGCGATCAAACCAATTCACATGTAAATGCGCAAACTGAAGACGTACTCAACGATGTCTTTGAAGTAGCTGGGGTCCTGTGGCAGGCCTCCTTGCAGACAAGCTGTTTTCTTTTAGTCTTCGTTGGATTATTCTCTCACTGACTTGAGTTCTACGCACGGCTTGTAGCAGATGCTGATTCTGAAACGCTGTAATGCTACGATTTCGTAAAGTATTCAAGATAATAAAGCGGTCGTCAACTGCATTTGTCTTCCGGAACCCACTCGTCTGGTGAAATTTCCCGTTTCCATATACCGATTCCAGGCATCCTGGACTGTTGTTCGAGGTATGCCCAGGGTATCGGACACATAACGTTGACTTCGGCCATCCTCAATTAAAGCCACAATACGAGCAACATCCGTCACAGATAATGGCAATATTTAATTTCACAACCGTTGTTGTCATATTGCAAATACTCATAAATCCGTTTTCGCCTATGTCGCCTTGATTATTTACACATAAAACTTTCTGCGCTTGCGAAGCATTTTTCCGAGACGTTCGCCAATAAAAAAAGAGATACCTATGTCGTGATTAAAAAAAACAAAATGCTCACAAAAGATGAGGCTACAATGTGATTTGATTTAGCAATAGCTACTATAGCTGCTGCACCCTACAGGGTGTTACAAAGTTCGGGCAAAAAACTTCGTCTTATTGTTGTGCCCTGTATATGCTCAAAATAAATTCGGAATAAAAATTTCTGACGTAGCATCCATTAAGAAGGAATTAATTTACAATTTAAAAAAAAATCATCAAAATCTAATGAGTGGTTCGCGAGAAATCCAACTTTGAAATTGGAACTAGTTTTTAGTGGCTTGTGAGTTTATTTTGTTTAATTATTTTAATAATATTGGATAAACCGTTTTTCTTGAAATTTGGTACTCTTACGCAAGGACTGTATTGATATGTATTACTGTATTCTAAAGGACTGTTCGATCGCGTCAAATCGCCGCTATCGTAGTTACCGTGGATGCTTACGTCACGCAGGGACCAGCGCACCACAATGCGGCGGATAGTTATTCTAGCGGGACAAAATCTTAGGAGCGATATTATATGGTTGGTTGACAAAAATGTATCAAAATACAAAGAATATATACGACCAGTAATATCTTATCAGTACACATTTTTGGCTTATTTCTGACCAAACGGTTTTGTCCCGCTAGTTTTATCTTCCGCCGCACTGTGCGCTCGTCCGTTAAACGCAAAAATAACTGTCTAAAATCTTTAGCGCGAACTTCAACTCGGTCCCTAGAAAACGTCAAAAAACTGACAGTACAGGAAGATAGGAATCGAACTATCCTTATCTCTATAGTATCCTTGACTCTTACGCACTTTTATCGCTAAAACGAATGGATATAATGAAAAATTCCGTTTTTTAACTAAAAAAATTACAAATTTACCAAAGATATTTCGAAATATACTTTCAATTTTTTTTTCGCGAACAATTTTTAACATATTACAAATGAATTGATTTTTTTCTGGGGGAAGTCATTACCTCTTTTATCCCTCCAGTATATGCGCCCCTGCCGCATTGTTTGTAACGAAAGATTATGTATATTTCCAATCAATCATAGAAAATATAATTACATAACAGTTAATTAAAACCTCAAGGCAAAGTATGTAACATATAACGTAATACTAAACTATATATCTTTTTACTATAAATATGTAATAAATAGGCATTTGTTGTACTTTATATCCAAGGCCCAAAGAAATTTCTGATATATTCAATAAACATATTATACAGGGTGAGTCTTAAATAAGAGCAAATATTTTTATGGGTAGTATATTTCGACCCCAGAAACACGACTATGAGGGTTTTTTTTCGCCAATTTATTTTTTTGAAAAATTTGGAAATTTTGGAGATTTTTTTAATTTTTTAGTTAAAAAACATAATTTCTTCATAATATGACAACATAAGTAGTAAATTTACAAGAAAGAAAGTCCGGAAAAGATCCAGTGGTTCTCAAAATTTAAGCAAAAAAATTTTTTTTGGAAAATTTCAAAGTAAAATATCTCGGTTATTTTGGGTTTATTTGAAAAACGGCAAGGAGAAAATATGTTTCTTTTACGGAGATCTACCAGCCCTGAAAATATTTGCACTTATTTAAGACCCACCCTGTTTATAGCTAAGTTGACTCATCTTTTCGGAATTTATTTGAAAAAATTGGCGCCGGGAGGCACGTATAGCCGCCCATACTAAAATATGTTAATAAAAAGCAATTTTTTTTATCTCAAAAACTGCGTCTTTGACTGATTTTGATGTTATTACAAATTTTGTTGCAAATATTATTCCTAATCTTAAATTAAAAACCGCGTTTCGCTAGCTACTGTAATTTTGGAGTACGATTTTTAAAAATTTTTAACCCCCTCCCATACCTCCTTACCAACCCCCCACCCCTACCAAAAACTAATGGCCAGATTCTCGAGTGCCACAGTATTTTTGTGCCAAATTTGGTTAAAATCGGTTTAACGGTTTTTAAGTTATCGTGTTACAGACGGACAGACAGACAGACAGACACCATGAAAATATTTTGTATTTAGGTCATTTATGACCTAAATAACTCATTTTGAGTGAAATTAAAAAAACTTTTTTGCCGATCTTAATATTTTAAGATTACCTGTTGGTATGGTCGGCTAAAAAATGATGGAATTACCACTAAATATGCCTAATAATGTAAAGAATATGTTTTTTAAATTCAAATACCGTTCTTCGTAGTAATCTTGCTACAGAAAAAAAGTGCCTAGTAATTTTAATTTTAATAGTTTCGTAAGATAAGAATGTCCTTCACGCTATACAAGTTTGTGCTTTGAGAAATTTTCACAATGTCTGCTTTTAACAAGTAGCTTATCTTGTTTCTGGTGCAAAAAAATACATTTATGCCCTTTCATGACGCGTAGTTTTCATGATTTCAATTAGATAACACAATTATTATTGTGCTCTAGCTTTTAATTTGACCCAAAATAATATTACAATAATGTAGAAATTAAAATATGTATATTACTTACTTGTAAGGCTTGTCCCCCGTGTGTGTCCGAATGTGCTGTTGTAGATGACTAAGCTGCGTGAATTTCCTTTGGCATATTTCGCATCTGTATGGCTTAATACCAAGATGAATTCTAGTGTGCTGAGATAGATAGGAACTATTTGCGAAGGCTTTGCAACACTGCGAACACTTGTAGGGTTTAGCTTCGCGCATATGTGCCTGCGTGTGCAACTGTAGCTCGGCTTTGGAACTGAACACCTGAAACAAAAAATTAACATTGTTTAATTGCATAATACAAAAACTAATTTATGATATTTATTCTAGTTCGAGTTCTCTTATCAAGATATATTCAAAATTTTTGTCAGGCTACATTTGAGCATTAGCGTAACTAGCAATTTATCCTGGGGTGGGCCTGGAGGAGGCCTGGAGTTGAGCCCAGGGGGGGCCTAGGGCTTTCGTTTTTTTAAAAATGAAAAATAATTTTAAAAAACACATTTTTTGAATAAAACGTTTCATGAATTTCTCTATTTCTCTAGTAATTTTCATATACTTGGTTATCAAACCGTGTTCCCGTAGATTACTTAAATACCTACACATTTTCTAAAAAAATAAAAATTAACGCATTTTTTGAACACAACAAAATAATATTAACTAAACAAAACTAGAAAACGTCATTTTTTACTGCGTTACAAGCAAATAAAAATTAATACGTAGCCAAGATAATTCAGGATTCCTCTGGGGGTGCCCAGCAGAACATGGGGGGGCCCGGCACCCCCGGATCCCCTGTAGTTACGCCAATGCATTTGATTGAGATTTTAAGCATACTAATATTTTTCTACTGATGCTTTTCTAAAACTATTAAAAAATTTGTAAAATATCCCAGCATTAAAAGGTTTCTGTTTCTTTTAAATTTAAATTGTAAATTTCTTTCTTCTATTTTTTAAGCACTAATTGTTTAGATAATAGCTCAATACATTAGCAGTTAATAAATCAGCAAGGCAATGTTAATTCGTTGGTTCCAACATTAAAAACGAGATAGGTACATAAAGGCATCGACTAGAGTAATTAACTTGAACATTATACGGTGATACTTAGGGAGATATTTTCGCAAATAAAAATAGCCATCTTATACAGACCGATAATGGCAAAAACGATAATCAATAATTAAGAAAAATTAACACGATGACAAGGGACTTGGATGTAATCATTAACTTCGACTAGGCATATCGTAGCGTAATGCATTTTTTATGTTAATTTTAAATGTCGATCGCGACAGCAATTATTTTATTTGAAATTGGAATTAATGAGACAATTCTGACTTAGTTAAAATTTTATGACAATGTATACTTTTTTATATACATACAGGGTGAGTTTCCTACGATGTTCTCTATAGGTATCTCGGAAATTACTGGAGATAGAGAGTCGGTTAAATGGGGAAAGAATTGCAGTTTTGTGGGGCCATAAATATGCGCCTTTCAGATTTTTAAAAAAGTTCATGGCTTACTAGATATTTCCAAAAAAAAAACAAATTTTGGCTATTTTAAAATTTGTCCCTAATTCCATTATAATCTATTTTAGACAAAAAAAAATTAGATAAAAGTTGTAGATAATCACATCCCTCATAAGTTTCTGTTCTACAATTTTTTTAAAAGCCTGTCATTTTTGACATATGACACAAACATATGTTTTTTAATGGAAACCATAGTTGGCCATGACTTAATAAAAAGCGCCATTTTTTGAGCTTTTCAGCGATATAAGTTGTAATATGTTTTTTTTAATTACTGAGTTATAGCCAACTCTCATCTTTCTTGACTAATTTCACTTAGTTGGTATGGTATTCTTATTCTGTTATGATTTATAACTTATAAAAAGACAGAATATATTATTAAACGGTTCTTTACAATTTACATAAAAAAAATAAAACTTGTGTCAGACTCGCGACGAACTTTGGTCTGGAGAGCATCTGGAAGAGGAGCACGCTTGAATGCAGTTCAACCCCGTGTCCCGTTTCAAGGGGGAAGCATTATGGTATGGACAGGTATAATGCACGGAGCTCGAACTCCTCTTGTTTTTATTGATGGCATAATGACAGATGTCTCATATCTTAGAGACGTTTTAGAGTCTATTATGCGTCCATTTCGAGGGACAGTGGGGGATGAATTTGTTTACATGGGCGATAATGCTCCTCCTCATCGCACTTTGGCGGTTCGCGAATTTTGTGATGAAGAGGGTATAAGAAAACTGTGGTGGCCACCGATGTCTCCAGATATGAATGTGATCGAGCATGCTTGGGACATGCTAAAACGCCATATTGCCAAAAGGAATGATCCCCCCGTACCTTTGTATTTGTATTTTACCAAGAGTGAGTCCCAGGTGGGACCCTCCACTGAGGCCGCGAGGGCCTATTGTGGCTCAGTTTCTACACGCTCTTTAATAGAAAAAGAGCATTAAAGTTCACCCTCAAGACCCAGCCTTTTAACATAGGCCGTTATGTCCGAGGGTGATATGTCTTCTAGGTCTGATAGGTCTAGCGTGGGTTTGCCCACCTCAAACCTGGTCCTGCCCCCAGCGGGGCAGGTACACATAACGTGCTTCATTGTTTCGTCATCTTCCATACAGAGTCGGCAGTGGCCCGTGTATACTGCAGTAAGTGTACGCGCTCCATTCCTACCAGCCTTTAGGAGTTCATCTGCTCTACGTTTGGATGGCCCTGCTAGGATTGTCTTGGCATGTTCCATTCCGGGACTGTCATACCCCTAACCCATTCACAGAGCCTGGCTCTTGCGAGATTTTTTGGTACGCTAAGTGTCGGTTCTGGGCCAACTAATGGCGAGCCTGCACCAGTTTTGGCGAGGGAATCAGCACGTTCATTTCCCTCTAGGCCGACATGTCCCGGTATCCATATTAGCGACACTTTGTTTCCATCTCCTAATATATTGAGTAGTTTCTTACAATGAAGAATCGTCCTGGACGTACTTTTCGTTGCCTCAAGTGCTTTCAACGCGGCTTGACTATCCGAAAATATACCTATTGTTTTTCCGGTGTATTGCTGTTCTACCAGCAGTTGCACACAGGTTTCAATCGCATATAGCTCAGCTTGGAAAATAGTGGTGTGTTTTCCAAGACTGTGGTAGATCTCAGTCATTGGACTGCTGCAGTAAATTCCTGCGCCAGATCCTTTATCGTTTTTGCCCCGTACCTTAAATGAATTGAAAATTGCTGCGCGCGAGACATGGGAAGCTATTCCTCAACATCTTCTGGACAACTTAATTGAGAGCATGCCACGTCGTCTCACAGCTTGCATTGAGGCTCGAGGAGGCAATACAGACTATTAGTTGTGAGAAATAATTAAAATTGTTTTCAATATTTTCTGTTTAAAATGAAATTTGTTTTTGTTGATTTTCACTCATTATGAAATAAAATTATAATAACAGCCTAGTTGCACTTAGATTTTTAATTTTATATTAGTTAGTCGTGTAGTAAGCCTATATGTCCAAAAATATAAAAAGAATCATATTAGGTCCAAAATAAAATAAAAATATCGTTATATGCAATAATTTTGGCCATGTGTGTATATATTATAAACCCCTGAAGAAATGACTCCGACACAAAGGTATAGAGATTAATTTTAACATTCATTTGACTCCATTTTAATATGTTGAGCTAATTTGAAAAGACCGTATATGATATAAAACCCCCAATCGTTGAAAGAAAAAATAGAAATAATCTGTTCAACATAGGAGTAACCACCGCTATAGTTTGACATCATTAATATAGCCAGAGACTCCGAAAACGGGTTAATAACACCGCAACGCCCAATAGAAAAATCCGTCGAAAATATGAACCCTCGACGAAATTCCGACGGGTCTGGCATCCGTCGGTCGAAAAACGCCTCTTACGTAACGTGCGCTGGCGGTGGTTCTTTGTTCCCCGTTGCCGTCGAACAGCCTCGGCCACGGACGCTTTGATGGACAGCTCAAATTTTTAATGCGCGACTCCCCCGGGCCATGTATCCCATATGTGCGCGAGTGTGAGAGAGCCCGCTATATGTGATGTTTGCTAGTTTAGAGATGGTCTAATGCTGCAGAGTAGCAAAAACACGAGCGAAGTTTTTTGACCAATGTTCATAACTACTAATAAACGTTAAAGCAAAATTCCTTGTTAACATACATGCAAAGTGTCAATTTGAAAAATAGAAGAAATGAATTAGGGTTTTCGGAACCGGGAATTTCGGTACCGCGCCTCTTAGGAACCGGGATTTCCCGGTTTTTTCGGTACTGACTAATTTTTGTTCAATGGTGGTGCAGTTCATCAATCAGAAAGCAAGGTATGGGTTTTCAAAGTAAAATGGATAAAAAACTGAGATTTCTAATGAAAATAATATCAAATTATTAAGGAATCAGTCATGAAAAAATTAACATGAACACAAACATGACCACGAGCCACGAGTAAAGAAAAAAGTATAGGTAACTTAAATTTCAGATCAAACAACATAAACCAACTTCACTGAATTTAGGACAAAAGCCCTAAAATATTTAACTAAAAATGCAAATATCTATTAAAACATAATAAATATTATAGGAACTTCAAAAGAGAAAAGAAACAAGAACAATAAGAAATAGCATCATTACTTATTTAGAAGAGTTTGATTTCGACCGCTAGAAAGTATCAATGGACATTCTCACGTAACAAAAAATATTTTTTTAATTATTGTTACCGAGGCCCGGTTCTGTGATGGCCAAAAAGATCTGAGCCCTAATTCATAGTATTAATTAGAGTTTCCAGAACCGTACTTAACTATTTTCGTTCAACGATGGTGGAGTTTGTCAATTAGCAAGCAAGGGATGGTTCTCAAAAGTAAAACCGATAAAAAATTGAGTTTTAAATGAAAATAATATCAAATTATTAAGTCATAAGATTGTAAAGATGAACACACATAATGAACACAAGCGAAAAAAAAGAAGAAAACACATAGGTAGCTTAAAAATTACAACAATTTAACGGTTAATTCACGGTCAGCAGCATATAAGCCAGACGCATAGTGCTGCTAACCAGAAGCTAATCGAAGAGCTAAAAGCAGACAAAGTATTGGGATTACCAATTGATGTATCAGCTACAAGGTATAGCTTCAACAACAAATTTAATATAACCATACCAGGAAGGGAAGACTGGAGTAAAGTTGTACCCATTCAAGCTGAGGCAACCTGGTATACAGACGGCTCAAAAAAGTCAGAATGCGTAGAAGCTGGGATAGTAGG